AACTACTGACTGAGTGACTAACTGACTGGCTGACTGGCTGGCTGAGTGATGGATGGATGTGCCCCCAGCCCCATTCGTATTCGAATTTAATTTTATGCACTTGCCGTCTGCAATAATTGACTGTTTATTGGCAACAGCGTTGAAAGTCGGCTTTCGGCTTTTTGATCATTTATCGGATCAGTCGGTTTATAATTCGCACTGCCGCCTGCCAACCTGCCTGCCTGCCTTCCAGCCTGCCTACCTCTGGTTGGTTGGTTGCCCATTCTGTCATATGGCACTCGGATCGATCCCTCAGGGAGTGTTTGCCGTGACAAATGGCTCAGTGCGGAAGCAATTTCTGCTAAACTTTTCAGCTGCGAAATTGGTAATTTTTTTTTTTGCCCCCCCCTCTTGCATTTTTATAGCCAATAATTGTGGCTTTGACTTTGATTTCCGTGTGGGTGCCAGCAAAGGCGGCCGCAGCTACAAATCTGTGAGCTGGCTGGCGCTGGCGCTGGCGCCTCGGGTGGAGGTCACAGCGATGTTAAACGATTGGGAAAATTGCAAAAATAAATGCAGAAAATATACAACCATTTAATGGGGCCCAGAAAGGTACATGATGGGGTTATACTATTGACTTTTAATACCGAGCTTTGTGTGCCATTTTAGAACTCTCCCGAATTCCGATCCCACACATAAAGCAATGTCACCGGTTCTGCATTCGACCATATCTTAAGGTTGTACCATTAATTTATGAGGCTTCTTCAGCATGTGCATACAAAAGCCAAAAAAAGAAAGCCAAATTTCTAGGTCATTGTATAAGAAACCGAAAAAGGAAAAGGCCGAAAAACAAACAAACCAGACAGCTTACTCTAAAGCGATCTGTTCCCTGGAACCAAAAGTTATTTATGCAACTTGCCCGCTGCGGTTGCACGCCCGAAGTTCAAATGTCAAGTGAAAGGAGGCGGGGGCAGAGAGGGGAGAGATGGGGCGACAGAGCCAGAACATAAGTCAAAACTTGAAATAAAACATCTGTGGAGCGGCTGGCTGGGATTTCTATTTCAATTAGACGAACTGCTGCATGTGGGATGTTGTCAGAACACCATAATGAATACACAATAATGTTGTTAATTTTTCCGTTTAGTTCGTTGGTGCTGCATCTATAGAGTTATGTATCTGCATCTTGGTCTGCCCGCATCTGCAGCTGCAGTCGCATCAAGTTTTCGAATGAACTTCAAACTGCTGCTCGGCCGCGATTCAAATTTAATGACTTTGGTTTTCAATTTACGAGATGTTTATGGCAAACAGCCAGCCATCCAGCCAAATAAACCAACAGAGTCACAATCAAATTTCAGTTTAGAGCGAATTAAAGGCACTGGAAAAAATTAGAAACTTTATTAGATGATCTTCTTACTAGTTCTCCAGAAGATCCCTATATCTTAAGCTTCAGCTTCATATTTAAAAAAAAAAACTTTTCTCTGAAAAACTTATATTTTTTTGTTGTGGATTGAGATTGGCGCCGGATTGAGACGCCTACGTCACCAATATCGCCTCCACTTTGGGTGCCGGAATTCTGTCCAGGGCCGGAGAGTCTCAGACACAATTGATTTCTGAGATTTTGTTGCGTTTATGGCATATTTTTATGGGGCTTTTGTGTTTCTTTCGGGGTCTTCCACTTTGGATAACATTCACTTTTTGTTTGGCACTTTCTTTCTAATCGAAAGTTTACTATTTAGCTGCGTGTATCTGGGAGAGTGTGGGAGTGCTGTATCTAAGAGGGTTAAGAGGCATGCGTTGGCTGCTGCTGCCAAAAACCACTAGGCGCTTTTCAAATTAAAAAGAAAAAAGCGCGAAAAGAAAAACATTGTGAGGCACCTGTTTATGGTCATGTCTTTTGTTTAACATTGCAGTCGAGGTGGTGGAGGGGGCCAAAATCGACGTAGGTGGCTCTGTTGCACTTTGGACCGTACTTGTCTTGTCCAACAAACAATGCACTCTGATAAAAATCTCTTGCCTCCAAAAAATTTGCCTATTTCGACCAGGCCCGAACGAGTGTAGAAAGTTAAGACCGTGCTGCTGCAGTTCGTAAAAACCAAAACAAATTCGGTAAACAAATCGAAAAAAGAATTAATGAACACACACGCCTAGCAGTGCCTTGCACAATTTTCCTCGTTTTTGAATGTAAAATTAAAAATCAAATAAAAAGCAACAACAGACTATGGCTGAAAATAAACAAAAATAAGGAAAATAAAGAAAATTGGGTAGGGTAGCAGCAGGGGAGGGAAGGGTCAATGCACAGGTTATCGGGGGCAACAGGTTCTGGCCATAAAAACCGTTTCATTTTCCTGACTTTTCGCAAAAGGTGTAAACACCGCCGAGATGGGAACGGGAAAGGGAGTGGGAGTGGGAGTGGATGGAGGCTAGACACTTGCGCGCACTAAACGATTGGGTTTTAAAGTGTTAAAAACTACCTGTAAGATGCCGAGATACAGATACACAGATACACACCGATCTCCGAGGCACACCGGAGTGCATGAAATCGCTTGGCTGGAAAAATGCCATGAAATGGGCTTTCGTCAAATTAGCGTGGCAGCGTTAACGATGGATGGACGATGTGCCTGGGCCTCGGCCTGGCCCTGGTCATGGGCCTACTCTGACCAAAGGCAGATCTAACAGATGCATCTGTGCACCGGCTCTGTGGGATATTTCGCACTTTGCCTCACATTCTGTTAGGTTCCTCAGCCTTCGTGCTCATTTCTTTCTTATTTTTCTTGCAACTTCTACCTGTGCTCTGCCTTGATTTATATATTTTTACTGCAAAACTGCATTGGGTGTTTATCTGTATCTGCATTTGCATGACACCAACCCCGGTGTGTTATCTAACTCGAAGAATGCCCCGGCACCGTCGTCTTCTCTGACTTTGGCACTTGATCTACCAGAGTCCGAACCAGAGACCGAGCGAGAGCTATAGCTAGAGCTAGAGGCCTCATAAATTCCCCGGTCGTTTAGTTTTTACGATTGTCGGCTGGCTTTGTTTGGCCCAGGCAGACACACACACCATCTCACTGAGAGACCAACTCGCACACAGATACTCCGATCCAGCCGCTTGTATCTTTCGACGCTGGCCTATCTAAATACATGCTGAAGAGTTGAAGTGCCAGCCCAGGGAGCCAGGGAGCCCAAGTCGAAGAAACGGCAGAAGCAGCCTCCTGCCAAGATCTCTGCGCCTGCGTACTGTACTCCGAGACTTAAGAAAGATACCCATACCATACCATACCAAACCGAAAAATGCTACCAAAAACTGGTCCCTGGCCAGGCCAAAGTTTGCGTGCCTTGCTAAAGTTTCTTCCAAATCCCAGTCCCCCAAAAATAAAAGAAGAACATTCAGGTAGTAGCCCTCTGGAGCCCAATATTTTATTTGGCCAAGGTCCAGGAAAAATGGGAATGAATGAATGGGAGATCGAGGGAAAAATATTATTTATGGTGCATCAAAATTTATTCACGAAGGCGTGCAGCTATTTTAACGGTCTTTACCCAGGAAATGCCTCGAAATGGACCGTTTAATGGTATTTGAGGCTTGAAATTCGATATTTTCGTAGCACAGTTCTAATTTAGAGGCTGAAGGATGGCCACCCATCGATTCCATATCTCAATCTGAACTGATTCTGGCCAAGATTTGTTGAATATACCCGCTTACTTAGGAATCAGAGACCTGATTGCTTTTAATTATGACACATTTAGGAAAGCCACAATCTCGAGTCTCCGTCTCCGTCTCCAAATTGCTGCCGAGTCATAAGTTGAAGGTAACAAAACTCCAAAGGAAAAGGCCGACCGAGACTCGAGAGGAAAGTACTTTCATTTTCACGCTCATAAAATGGGACTCGTATAAAACTCAAAAATGTTGTCATAAAAACTCAAAATCAGAAACGTACCAAGAGAGCCAAGCGGCTAAGCGGCTTAAATGACATTTAAATCAGCCAAAAGCGAGGGGCAACAGCAATCTGGGCCACAAGTTGGACACTCGAGACTCAAGACTGAAGACTCAAGACTGAAGACTGAAGATCCCTTTCACTGAAAATGAGTCGCGAGGGCTTAAGACCGAGACAGGAAGTTCGCACTTTGGCAAAAGATCGAAGAACCCCAAAATGCAGAATTAAGAATCCAAAGAAACCCCATGGAGAGCCATACCAGCACACGTTTCTTTCTACAGAGAACGAAATCATTCTACAATGATCTTAGTTTGTTATCCATAAACCACCACTGTTTTTCTTTCTCTGGATCTGTCTTTTGCCGTGATTACGCTTTAATCTCGTTATAATGAGGCAGGAAAATTGCTTGGCGGATGTGCCGAGCGTGCCCGAAACGGGAACGGGATTGCAATTGGAATGAGAATAGGTAGGGGGACTGAGATTTAGGGGGGGATTGGACCAGAAAAGAGCTAAGCTGTGGTTGACATCCTGGACGCCAGCTGGGAAGCACTCGTCTCTGGAGTGAAGCAGCGATTGAATTACCAGGCAGGGGACTCCAAGAGGATCCCGACCAGAGACTCACACACAATGCAAAATACAAAGAGGGAGAGACCCAAAGAGACATCGGCCAGACACAGCAAATACACTTGTTCAAGTAATCTGTTCCTCCTCACTTTTGGAGGAGGAAGGGCCCTTCTCGTTTCTGAAATATGATGCCGCCGAGGCGCAGGTCATAAATAAACCAAAGACACGAATGAGACGCCGATCAGAAGGCCCAGGAGGAGAGCCGCGGGCAGGAAAGTGTTGTGAGATAAGGTTAGATAAGAGCCGGTGTATATAAGTGCATTTATACCTGAAGTAGGGGCCAAGTGAACACTTCCTCCTTCCCAAAAAAAAAAGGGTCATTTAGTATGTTCTTTTTTTGGAAAGAATTTCGAACATGAATGAAAGTTGTATAACATTTTTGAATAAATTTATTTTGAAAACCAAAATGACATTAGTTTAAAAGGGTAAATGATTATTAAGAATTCGAAGAACTCTTCTGATATATACCTGTATTCACGTGCATTCCAGGCAGTATCACCGATGACTCCGACTTGAAGCCTGCATTCTGGCTGCTGCTGGTGGGCTTCTCCCCGCCCATGTCCAGGGTGGTGGATCCTTCCAAATCGACCAGGGTGTTGCCTTTGAAGACACCCGCACTGCGGTACTCCTTGGCATAGGGTGTGGCCGCCTGTGCCGCCCTCGAGGATATGGCCAAAATTAGCCAGTAGACGGCCGCTACTCCGGGCCACATTGCGGAAAACACTCGCGGAAAACTCACTCACATAGACGACCGGAGTCACAGTCGATGGAATTTTATAATTTAGACGACGCGTGACACTTTCAATTAACACCGCTCAGCGGCTGCCGCCGAAAGAGCAAAAAAATGTATAACTTTTGATCATTAAATTAGTTAGACTTTGATGGCCTTTGCTCTTTTTTTTCGCGCTCGTTAGGCAAATAATGTGTGTCAGCAATTAGTGGCAGATAGCCCCTCCAGATCTTTCTCCAGACACTGCTAAAGTGTGTCACACCAACGATATTGGACCACTGCAAGGATAAGAGACATAAAACCTGGGATTAGTACTGACAGAAGATCGGAAGGAATCACTTTCGCAAGGGTTCCAAAAAAAAAAGCCATAAATCCCGATTGGAAATTGCTTTACTGTGGCATCTGAAAGGCTTTAAAATTAAATGTTTCGTTAAACTAACAATTTAATGTTTGTGTTTATCGCATTTTCGAATTACAGAACATTTTATTGAATTTCGTATTTAAATCTCTCATCTGACGACTTTTTTACTCCATACGCTTCTTGAATTTCATTATTATTCCTCGGGGCATTTGCTTATAACGGGAAACCGGCAAGCCACATTGCCACCAGCTGTTCTTTGTTGTTGTTAAGCCTAAAGACTAAAGCCTAAAGATTTCTATCAATTAAAAATATACGCGATAATTTCCCCTCGTAATATGCTTAGCATACGCAGGATAACGAGGACGAGCCCACGAGAAATCCCGATTCCGCGATGGGAATTAGGGAATCAAAAAAGAAATCCCACAATAAAGCCTGGAATGCCTCTCACCCACGCCTGCGCATTGTCAATGATGCAGTGTCTACATATGTCGAAAGAGAGGGGTGATCTCTACTAGAAAGAGATGGAAACATACGATGCGCCCTTAGCGCCGCTCATAAATGTCAATGAAAAGGCTCATGTTGTTGTTGTTTTTATAGACCAGCCGAAAGAAGTAACATGTGGGCTGGCTCAGGCTTATTAACCATAACTTGGGGGAAATGCCTAAGCGACATACACTGAGAAAAAAAACTCAAAAAATATAATTAAGAACTCTGAGAATTTGCCAGCTTTTTTCAATATTTTTTTAAACATTTTTTTAAAAGTGTTCACTAGCTATTTATAAATTAAAGCTTGAAATTTGCATGCGTCAGTGTAACAAAACGAAATTGATGGATGGAAATGGAAAGAAATCACAAACAATCACACTTAAGCTTAAACCAAATAAGCTCTTTGAACGAAACGAGTTTTTGGACAAATATTTTTGCATTTTTCAAACAAAAGCCCAGATACGAAAATAAACACACGCTCACAAAACACCATGCAATTAATATCCGGCATAAGGGGGAACAAATAAATAAAAGCAAGTGCAGTCTCTCTCATTTGGCATGTCTTGGCCCGTTTATGTTTGTTTTTTGAACGCGTCCAAACGAAATTGAAATTGCAATCCAACCATGGCCCATACCTTTTTTTTTTGTGTTTTTTTGCGAATTTTTGTTGTTTGGCTTTGTTTATTGTTATTAATCTTTATTGGCACTTTCGGATGCTGCCAAAAGGGTTACAGCTGCGCGAACTAACGGTAATTGCGTGTGCGCATGCGCAAGGCGATAGATAAAACAGCGAACCTTTTGATTTTTGAAATCCGACTTTTTTTAGTTTCATTCAGCGACTATTTGAAAATAACCAAATATTCTACCGAAAATTCATCATTTGCTGGGGGGGCGATCGCGGCTACGACGGCAGCGCTCCGAAAATCCGCGACACACGTCCGCACAGTTGGAAAATCTTATGAATTTGATATTTTAAGAGAGAGAGAGCCCACTGTAGGCAAAGTGTGACCAACGCTGCATTCATCAGCTGATACTAACAGTACATACTTTAACAGCTGTTATGTATTTGTCACTGAACAACACAAAATGCGCCATTCGTACAATTTCAATTAATGAAAAATAATTCTTAATAATATAATACAATTACCATTTTTTTATAAAACCATTTCCCACTCTATCATTTAGCAAAAGTTCGTTCATCAGTTAGCACTTCCATAACAACAGGCCAACCAATAACAGTACCATTGAAACAACCCAAATTATACTGGTTTATTTCCAACTCTTCAGATAATATCTTCTGTCTTCTTAATGAAGAATGAATGTCTTCTTTAGATAAGGAGTTTCTTAATACCTCAAAAATATCTGTTTTTAACAAATTTCTTAAATTTATTGTTGTTGCTTGATTTTTTGTTGTTGCACAAGCACTGCTTGATTTTTTCAGCGCCATCTAGTGAAAACTGCTTACATTTCATGTAGATAAAATTATACTTATACAAATTGTGTAAAGTTTCACACTCTTTTAAAGAGTATTCTAGTTTTTTCAATTTTTAATCAGAATTTGTATGAAATATTTCTTAAAACATAATTTTCTCAATCATAAGTCTTTAAAATTTGTATCTACATATATCAATTGATGGCTATCGATGGACTAAAATTTGGAAAATGCATGTAGAGAACAATATAACCCACAGCGTTGTCTATATCTCCTCCAATAATTATCTTATTCTTGAGTGAAATAACTTAAACGATTTTAAGAAGGATTCTCCAAGAATCAAAACCTAAGAACCAAAATATTTTGCCAATTTTCCTCAAATATTCTGGGAAGTCTCCTAAAAAAATTGGACAATGCCTGGGGAGTAAAACATGGACCCCCCGCTATGGCTGGTGACTCCACAATGATTCATAGAAGCTTGATGGCTTTTCAATATAATTTCTGAGCACTCAGCAAGGTCCTGGGCCGATAAGACAGGACCACCGGAAACGACTGTTTAAGTGAAAGGATTTGTGCGGCAGAGGAGCCAATGGGGGCAACTGGATTTCTCTGATGGGATGAAAATGATTTCCATCTACATCAGAGCCAAAATTAAATTATTAAAAACCTCCTCAGCTAATTACTTCAGCTCTGTCTCCAAAACTCTCCCGCTGGAGCCTCATAAGGATAGCCAATCAGGGCCCAGCTTAAAGGAGTGTGCGCAGACACCCTCTTATACTTCCTGCAGAGTCTTATACGTATGTATGTAGCGTGCAAACCACCCTTGCCACACACTCTGTGGCCATTCCACCAATCAGAAGCGCCAGGCTCCAATGGACAGGTGAGGCGGAAGGAGTTTTTTTTTCCTCCATTATTAAGGAGTATTTTCGGGGCCCGGTCCCTGCTGTTAATTTGTGATGGGCCGCGTAATTTGCTTTGTTTTTTTCCCTGTCCTCTGCCGGCGTCGGCGGCAGGATAAGCGTCGCTTGACCATCGGAAGTATCTGTCACTTCAGTCGCTTGCCGATTACCAAGGAGATTAGTGTAGTTAGCTCCGTGGCTCCTTTTCGCAATGCAAAGCCAAAAAATGGTGTTACTGTGCTCTCCGGATGAACCCATTCAAAGAAGCCAAAGTACCGCTTCCAATCCGGACTCCACAACTATTACGGTTCCGGCGCAACGTCCGTCCTCGCCGCGACAGTTTTTCGAAAGACTCTACGGACATTTAGAGACGCGCAGCTCCGAAAGTGGCGACATAGACGTTGGCACCCACAAGCCGCCCCCACCATGCGAGACGCCTTACCACAGCGACGGCGGAAGCGTCTCCTCGCCGGATATTTCAATCAGCGATGAACGCGGCACGCTTCCGGGCTTTCCCGCCTACGATTTCTACAGCCAGTCCAAGGATTATTCGCAGAATCCAAAATTGAGCTACGTTAGTCCGCCGCCAATGATCAATCAAGGAGTACCCAATCCCGTCCTGCAGCATGGATTTCCGCCCGGTTTTCCAGGTGACCCGCATTTCAGCGCCGGGTTCTCTGCATTTTGTAAGTAATCTTTAATTTTAATTTATTTGGTAATGCTTTTATTAAAATTATAACTAAATTCTCTAAATTAAAAAAGGGGTTACTTTAAAAAATGTGCCTTAATTAAATACTAATTTTAAAAGAAGTATAAAGTGTTGAATCTCAAATTTTAAAAATATGTAGAATATATCAAAGTTTTCAAAAATACAAAATCCACCAAGAAACCATTATTATTTCTATTATTTGTTTCTTAATTAAAAAAAAAAAACATACAGGAACACAAAATTTGGTCTATAATCTAAATGTTTAAACTCTTAACACTTTAATACTCAACTCCTAAACATTTATTCTGAGGTTTTGTAGTTTTTTTTAAACACTAAGTACATAAGAAAATTTGAACTACTACGAATTTGGTCCTAAATAGATGAAAGGGGAGGAATCTCGGGAAGAAGGTGTCCTGGTCTGGACTATTTGGAAGGCTTGGGCTTTTTACCGCGCGCCCTCTCCTCCTCCTCCCGTTTCTGCTTTAGGTTGCGAAGCTCCAGGCTGAGGAACATCTTCAGGTTCGGGTCAGTGATCTTGCTGAGGACGATCTCTCTCGCCTCCTCGTCGTTGTCGCCCAGCATTTTGGCCAGGGTCTGGGCGTAGTCCAGCCACACGCAGTTGGCGCATCCGGACATGCAGCAGTTGGTGGGCTCTGGTGGAATCTATTTAAGGAAATAATATAGTATCTTTAGATGGTGTTATAGAAGATCATAGTACCTCGATATCCTTGATATTCTTCTTCTTGGATTTACTGTCTTTGGCACTGGCTTCCGGAGCAGTTGTCTTGGCAGGGCCATTCAGATTTTTGTCCAGCCCAGCAGTATCTTTTGGTGGCACCTCCTGGCGTTGCTTGTCCTTGGATGGTGTGTCCTTCGAGCTATTCCCAGCCGAGGCGAGTTGTCGGGCCAGCGACCCAAAGGCCCAGTGCTCGGATCCACGCCTTAGGAGAAGGCAGCGCGGACAGCTGAAGCCCAGTGATGCCAACATTTCGACCCGATCCCGATCCCTGAGATGTTCAAAAAGTTGAGTTGCCAGGCCTAGAGGAAGTGATGAGCATTTCACACGCCTGCGCAGGTGCAGCCCAGATGAAAGTTAGTTCCGCAGGAACTGCCCAAAAAAAATTGGATACAAAAAAAAGCTGATTAAGTACATGTGCTATTGAATATCCTGCTGGAGTCCAGTACCAGTACCAGCAAGGATTATGTAAAATCAGTCAAGAAAAAATAAAAGTAAGCAAGGCAAGGGCCCCGGCCACACAATGAGCTGCCTCTGACCCCCAGTTAGCCAAGAAAAAAAAAAATAAGGAATGGCCAGAAAAAATTAAAACGCATTCAGCTGTGAAAGTTTCCATTTACTTGTGGCGTTTTCGTTTTGCGGTTGAGGAGTTGTTGGCCAGGTGTGGAGTGTGGGGGTGGGGAGAGGCTAAAAAATATTAAGAATCTGCTGGCTAATAAAAAAGAGCCTTAAAGTCAAGTCAGTAAGGGCTTAAGAATTGATAAGAATACTCTTAAACGCATGTATCTTAAATAACTCTTTAAAATATCTACCATTTAACACTTTTTTAGCAACCTCTAAACTTCTTTTAAAAAAACATATTTCCTCATTAGTAAATGTTGTTGGAAAAAAAATCATAACTAGCTGAAAAAATTAACATTGTAATTGAGCTCCTCAGGAAACCTAAAAAACTAACAAAGGCAGCCGGAGGAAGGGTAACAACCACAACAAACTGTCCAAAGGACACTTGACTATCGAATTTCACACGTGATTTAAAAAAAAATTTAGGAAAGAAAGGAAGACAGAAGGGAGGAACTTAAGCCCATAGTCAGGCAAAGGGTAATCAAGCACAAACTAGAGATTACCACGCCCCATTCTCGTCCTGAAATCCCCGCCCACTGAGCCACCAAAACAACTTGTCAGCTTCGGCGCGTTACATCAATTAGACTCTAAACCGCACCACAGACGAGGACAATGGACGAGGGGCGTCTTGGTGGTTGGGAGTGGGTGGGGGTGTGGGTCTGGGTCTGGGGCTGGTGGGGCATAATGTGCGCTCGGCTGGGTTTCATCGCCGGCAACGCTCCGAATGCAAACAAACAGACAACAGATTGGAAAATGTGAATGAGAGGATTTTCATGATGATGATGATGGGTGGTGCGGTGTGGTCCGCGGTATAGCCCAGCTGTTGGCATTGTTGAAACTTTCCCGGATCAGCATAGATTGCCAAAAAAAAAAAACAGAGTGTCTATAAAAAGAGGATACACGTGGAAAATGCATTTGTAATGTGCACCCAAAACGCGAGCCACGCAATGTGGGTGGAGGTTGGACATACCCGGAGTGGTTAATTATTTGTTTAACTGCCTCAACACGCAACCACATTCGGAATCGTTTAGTCCTGTCCGGGGATATGTCCAAATTGTTTGTTAATGTAAGATTAATTTCGCTCTAACATCTCTATTGTATACCATAGTTCTCACCCAGGAGGAGGGGGTGCTATTTTTATACTTTGTTGAACAAACAAAACAGACATTATGATGCACAAAAAAATATGGAAATTATCCAGCACGAAGGGTGTAATATATTTTTTAAATTCCAAGGATTGTAAACCTAAAATAGTATTTTTTTCTAATATAATTTTTAGTGGCTCGAAGACGTCGCAAGGAGGGAAGACAACGCCGCCAGAGGACAACCTTCAGCACCGAGCAGACCCTGCGTCTGGAGGTGGAGTTCCACAGGAACGAGTACATCTCCAGAAGCCGTCGCTTCGAACTGGCCGAGACCCTGCGTCTGACTGAGACCCAAATCAAGATCTGGTTCCAGAATCGTAGGGCCAAGGACAAGCGCATAGAAAAGGCTCAGATCGACCAGCATTATAGGTGAGTTTTGGAAGTAAAGTCCTAAAAACAGCTGCCTTGTTATATGCTTTTGAATTATGTCCACTATTACCCATCATTCCGATATAATATTTTGAAACGGAAGTAATTCAAAAGGATGTCACTGGTTTAATTGATGGCCTCCCATAAAATTAACACGAAATTAATTTTACGACATTTACGCGCACACAAACCCAATTAGACAGGCGATCCTGCCACCACTAGCACCTCCCCTTGACCACCTTAGGGTGCAAGGTCGTCCTTAGAATAGAGCTGGTCATTTGATGTAATCAATTTTTCAGAAACTTTGTCGTGGCCAATGGTTTTATGAGCTCTATAATGGGTCAAACGAGTTACGCGCCTCCAGCCCCGACGACCCTGCCCCCTGGCGTCGGTTTGGGGTACTACGCCACGCCAGCAGCGACGCCTACTGCGCTGCCCAAGGATGGCACGCAGGATAACAGCGACCACTTCAAGCCACAAAACCAACAACAACCACCGCCACATCGAAGCAGAGAAACGCCAACGCTTATTAATACATGCTAGCATTATTATTATTAAAAACTATTATTAGTTTTAATTGAGCTTTAAAGATTAAAGATTGTTTAGATTTATGTAGCACCTTATTGAATAAAAATAATTGATGAAATCGGAGGCTTGTAAGCATCTCCCTTGAAAACCAAATGGCTACTTACTAGTATATGTGTTAAATGAGCATTTTTGCACTTAGTGGAATAGCACTAGTTTGTTTATATAAGAAAGAAAGACAACAAACTTGGTTAAAACTAAAAAAACTAATAAACAATGAAGCAGAGACAGCTGTTGCTGCTATCTAAGATTAACAGAAACTATCGATAACAGCGTACAGCAGACTGTTAACGGTAGAGATTTTAGGGATTATAGCAACAGTAGCTATTTATAGCAACTTCATGAATTAAAAGATATATTAAATGATAAATCCCTTTTAAAAATTATCCAAAGACAAGTTATTATTTATAATTTTTTTTATTTCGATATCCATATCAAAAACACCGGTTAATATCTCTAAGGACATCTTAAATCTTAGCAACTGGCTTCAATCCTAAGATATAGAATGACTGCCGCAATACCGCAGCGGTAGCCTCGCACAAAAGAATTCGGCTCCTATTGACTGACACAATCTCGCCAGCCTTGTTCTTCTCAATGCAGTAGCAGCTGTCGTAGAATTCGGTAAAGGTGGTGCACACTTCGTAGCAGAATTCGCAGAGGAAATGCAGGAAAAGCTCGTTGGAGCACTTGATGAGTATGTCGTGCATCTTGAGGAGGGTCTTGGCCAGCTTCCATTCCTTTTCGTGACTCAAATCGATATTGACGCCCTCCAGAACCTTGGCCAAGTCACTGAAGTCCTCACCCGAGTTGCGGGCAATGGAGCAAATGCGTGTGTAGGTGTAGAGTAGATAGACGGCGGTGTTGCCCCGATCCTCGAGCATTTTGTCAAAGGAGAATATGTAGTCGCTGATGCGGTTGTGACACAGATCCGCATACTTAATACAACTGTAGGCCACGGCCTCTTGTGCGTCTTTCAGTTCTTGGGGAGTGAGAACGTCGTTGCGGCCTCGACTCTCCAGTTGGTTCAACGATCGCTTCATTCCCTCGTCCAGCAGGTCGGATAGTTTCACGGTGTCTCCCGAACGAGTCTTGAACTTCTTTCCATCCTCGCCAAGCACCACTCCGAACTGGACGTGATCCACACGGTGAACAGCAGGGTCCAGGATGCCACAGCGCTCGGCAGCCTTGAAAATGGTATTGAAATGTGTGCTTTGTCCGGCGTCCACCACATAAATAATCCATGTGCACTTCTCCTCCTCCAATCGATGACGAATGGCGGCCATATCGGAGGTATCGTACGTGAACCCACCGTCGGATTTCACAATCGTTAGGGGGATGCCTGTTTTGCTTTCGTCAGGCCACATAATCTCACGGCCCTCGTCCGCCTCCAGCAGGTTCTTGCTTCGCAAAAACTCCACCACCGACAGCATACGGGACTGATAGAAGGATTCGCCACGCTCTTCGATCGACACGTCCAGGCGGTTGTAGATGGTCTGGAATTCCTTCCGCGACACATCGCAAATCAACTGCCAGGCCTTGATGGAGTTTGGCTCACCGCCCTGCAGTGAAACCACTCGACTGTACGCCCGCTTCTTGAACTCCTCGTCCTCGTCGAACCGCTTCTTGGACTCTTTGTAGAAGACCTGCAGATCACCGATGGGAGGACTCTCGTTCAGGAAATTGGGGAAACGATCTTCCAGGTGGGCAATCAGCATCCCAAACTGTGTTCCCCAATCGCCAAGGTGGTTAATGCGCACCACGTCGTGTTTGAGGAACTCCAGCAGGCGGCAAATAGATTCTCCAATGATGGTGGACCGCAGGTGACCCACATGCATCTGCTTGGCAATGTTGGGGGACGAAAAGTCGATGAGGACTCGCTTCTTGGGCACTGGGGGAGGCTTTACGCCGTTTCGGAGCAGGCTGCTTAAAGCTTGTGATGCATAGTTTCTGTGGGGAAAGACAGACATTGAAAGTCGGACATATGTTTCTGAATCCCACAACTTACTTGCTCAAAAAGACGTTTACAAATCCAGCTCCAGCCACCTCCAGCTTTTCAATAAGCGGTGAGGCAGGGCAGTTTCGCTGTATTTCCGTGGCAATATCGCGTGGCGACTTGTTGATTCCCTTCTCCTTCAGTTGCTTGGCCAACTTCATGGCATTGTTGCACTGGTAATCGCCAAACTTTGCCGAAGCGCTGTTGACAGGAGCAATCGACACGGCAGAGTCCTGGTATTCCGGGAAAGCCAAAGCAATAGCCTGAGAAAACACGAAATGCAGGTGCTCCGTGATGGAGCAATTGTCCTGCACCTCAACGCTGCCACCGGCTTTCGACTCGTCGGCTATGGACTGTCGTAGGATAGCCAGGCGGTGCTTGAGCTTGGTGTTTTCCACCTGCAGCTTTAGCAGATCGTCATCAGCTTGTTCCGCCTTGCTGTCCTGCAATTGGGCTGCCAGCCTCTGCGTTTCAAGTTCCTGCAAAGGCAGTTTGTGAATATACTACAAGGGGTCAATTTCATTAAGGTCTTACCAACTCTTCGAGTTTCTTCAGCTCAACATTAAGACCCATCTTCAAAACTCCTTTCACCGATCAACAAGAAAAATATGCCACATGCCGCACAATGTGCGAAATATATCAACTATCGAAACTGGTTACTAACAGCTGTTGCTTAATCGATTTTACAACACTGATATATCGATACACTCCGCTAAATATCGGTGTATCACTTGTAAAAAATCATTCACAATATTCTTTTCTTTCGTTTCTTCGTAAATGTTTGACTTTTTCTGAGTTGGTTAAAGAAAAACCTAACAAAACATGGCAGCAGTTGCGGGTTTAAAGGAAGGAACCGCAGAGGATCCCACTGCTGAGGTTATAGTTATTCCAGACCGCGAAGATGTAAGTAAAAGTGAAAATCGGCTTGCCACCCACACCAACAGACACTTGCTTTTGTGTGTATACGTGTTTGTGGGCGGCGGTGTCTCATCCACCGGATGACGCATTTTAATACCAACACCTCCCTCTCCTTCGACCCGGCAGGACATCTGCGAACTGGAGCACTTGCGTAAGCTCTTCATCGGCGGCCTGGCTCCCTACACCACAGAGGAGGGCCTGAAGGTGTTCTACGGCCAGTGGGGCAAAGTCGTCGATGTTGTGGTGATGCGCGATGCAACCACCAAACGCTCCCGGGGCTTCGGCTTCATCACCTACACAAAGTCCCTCATGGTAGACAAGGCACAGGAGAACCGCCCCCATGTCATCGACGGCAAGTAAGTGTTTTCCTCAGAAAAGTGTTCCATATGGTTTCTAATTCCATCTAATTGTCATAGAACTGTGGAGGCAAAGCGGGCTTTGCCGCGCCCAGAACGTGAGTCACGCGAGACCAACATATCAGTGAAGAAACTATTTGTGGGCGGTCTGAAAGACAACCACGATGAGGATTGCTTGCGGGAGTACTTCATGCAGTTTGGTAATGTGGTCTCCGTCAAGCTGCTCACCGACAAGACCACCGGCAAACGTCGTGGATTCGCCTTTATCGAGTTTGACGACTACGATGCAGTAGACAAAGCCATACGTGAGTCAAGGGTTTCCTTTATAATTCTCTGATATTTTATTAAATATTATGTATCTTTGTAGTCCAAAAACAGCATTCTATCAAATATGTACATGTGGACGTTAAAAAGTCAATTTACAACCTGGAAAAGAAAGGAGAGAAACATCAGCCTGGAGCTCCACCAAACGGCACAAAGCCTCCAATGAATCAGTACCAACACCCGCCTCCGCCGCCTCAAAACGGAAATATGCCGCCTGCCGGCTATCGTCCACCTGGACCGCCCCCTCCTTCGCCAATGGCACCGTACCAGCAGCAACCCCCTCCACCTCCGATGAATGCTCCTCCGCCGAACTACAACTACTGGGGACCACCTCCGCCGCCAATGCAGTCTTATTACCAACAGCCCCCTCCACCGCAAATGAACGCCTGGGGTGGTTATCCACCGGCCCAGCCTCAATGGCACCCCGGGCAGTGGGGATGCCCGCCACCGGTGCAACAGGCTCCACCGCCAGCCGCAGCACCTCCGCCGATGGACCACCACCGCAACGGACCCCCGCCGCCGGCGCCTGGAAACTGGAACATGCCGCCGAATGCGCCGCCACCGATCCCGGGGGCACCACCGCCGCAGCCTGCACCGCCGCACCAGCAACCACCGCCGCCTAACTTCGGCACCGGTTACCAGCAAAACTACGGAGGCGGCCCGACCAAGCACAACATGGGAGCAAATCGCATGAATCCCTATGCTGCAACGCCACCCAATCCCTATCGTAAGTTTAGGATTGTGTTTAGGCTTTGAAGTTTCTTATTCGATTTGGAATATTTTAGATAACCCTCAACCTCCAGCACCACCCTACGCTCCGTACAATGTAGCTGCTCCGCCTCCGAACGGAACTAGTCACAAGCCTATCGCCAATGGATCCGTGCCCACCGGAGGCAGTAGCAAGTACCGCCGGTAGATTTGGTGAGTAACAGCCGCTAGTCAGAGCACAACCCGTCCCCGCCATTAGTCGTTCGTTTTAATGTGGCATATAAGATATAAGATAATCCCAAAATACGTCTTGCCACTCTCCCATGAATTGAAAGAATCGCACTACGTCTAAAGACCCCCCTATTGTATTGTATTTACTAATATGTACAATTTTCTCTGATTTAGATGCCTCACAATTCAAGATACTGTTAAATAAGCTTGTTGATAAGATAGGCTCCACTCGCTTAGAGTTACTATCAGGACATTTTCGCATTGTCTCTCTCTCTTTGTATCATAGGCATGAAACTAGAGATTTAATTAAGATATACCATGGATTTAACTACAATTGACCTAAGCTAAGCCGAAGACTATATGCATTAATATTTAAAACAAAAAAAAAGTATTCGAATTACCTAGCTGCAAGTTAGCTATTTCAACGTTTGTCTTATTTTTGACTATTTCTGTATCCTTACGAATCGTAGAATAAACCCAAATACGATATGAATATAACCTAGGCTCTCTAACCCAATCCAAGTCTCTTTGTTATTAAATCTAAAAATGCAAAAGAAATTAAATTAAGAATTAATGGTGAACTATACAAGTACTACGTGAGCTTAGTGTCGAAAATATGTCTCTTACTAACAAAACCCATTAAACCTGAAAATTCGTCCAAAAACAAGACAAATATAAATTTCAATAAAAGACATGGAAGCTGTTTGGACCGGATATCAAATCTTAGAAAAGCGACACGGATATCCAAAACTATTGTCAATTGTACAAGGATCAAGAGGGATACCTACAATATACAAGAATCTGCAATGCGATGTACTATTTTGTAAAGTTGTAAAAGGTTTCTACTGTGGCCCTGATGCCACAATGCTTGTTTCAAAATATTCTTAATCTTTGGTTTTTAGTTCTTTGAAGAACAGCAATTGCTTATTTTTATATGTGAAACATGTAACTATGAGAAGGAATATCACTAAGAAACTATATATGTATATTTTAATATTGTTTTCACGCTACGAATGCAAAACTTCAAATTAAGTTTAGATCTACTGTTTACCTACATAGATGTACAATTAATTTTCTCTTTTAAATAAGATTAGGTTCTACATAATAGCACATGCCGATGGCTTTAATTGAATTATGAACTAAAACAGAGGCTCAGGTCACTATTTGCCAGCTTTATTTAGAGCTTCTTCAAAATTATTTGACTTCAAACTCTATTCACTTAACCAAACTATATGACAAAGCGTATTTATTTAAAATAAATGAAATTTTCAAAAATAAACACTATGTATTTGTTTTAGATGCCGAATTGTAAGTCTATTTCTTCCAGTCTAGCATTAAACTAAACTACTATTTACCTCAAGATCAAGTTAACTTTATGTAATTCTAGGTGCAAATCGCAAGCCATAAAAGTTTTGATCCTATTTTTAGATATATCCTACTCGTATAACCCTATGGTAAGTTAGAATTCAGACTGGGAATTCAGATACTTGTTCTCTAGGATACACTATAGTTTCTATAAGAATGCTTAAGTACCTGCTTAATATGTATCCAGTCCCTCCTCTTCATTTAATCGCAACTTTTAAACAAACACACACTGTTTCTTTTCCAAAAAAAAAAACGACCCCGAAATCCTGAGCTTCGCTGGTGGGGATACAATTAGGCCACACGTTACTCCCTAACAGGTAAGTAAAGAAAACTTTTTATAAAAATTGTAAAAAAAATGAATTTTAATAAAAAAATGCGCAAAAGAATGAGGCAATCTGTGTTTTTATTCCAAATGATCCAAAAATCAGGCGAACATGTTGCGAGGCAACATGTTTGGGGTATAAACTTTACAGTTCTTTTCAAAATAATAGATATTTTTATTTTAATATTTGAAATATTTAAAGAAATATGTCATGACTAAGTATACTAGAAATAGGTTTTATAAAAGCACGCCCAACAATTAAATATTTGAATTAAATTCAACCTCCTATTATTCTGAGTGCATGTGTATGCTCCCATTAAGCGATCCGTAATCATTCGGAAGCTTTCCCGGGCTGGAATCAGTCACTCGCCATCCGCCAACGCGTTTAGACATCTGAAAAGGAGAACCCACACACCAAAGCCCTACTACAGTGAGTATAATTTAGTGAAATAAAGGATTACCGACTGGACTTGGATTACAAAACAAGAGTTTGTGTATGAAATGTGGTTCTAGAATTACTGCCAGCTCAGCTCCCGATCGAGTTGCTCTCAAGTTCAATGGTCTTTCAAATTCAGCAATCGATTCAATATTAATTGAAACTAATTTATGTGAAATTGGCCAATATCAGTTTGGTAGAATTTTAACTTTTTATTCCACTTAAAGTCGAATCTAAATCAAAGTTATGAGCGGTCCGAGCTAGACTGCAAGGTCAACAATTCCTCGTTAGCGATTTGCAGTTCCGCAAATTCAAGTAAATTGTTTTTTATGGGGATGGGGATGGGGAGGAGGGACCTCATTCGCCCACATTTCGTTCACGATTCAATGGACTCCCCAGCATAAACACAGTGCATCTTGGATGCTGCATCACGTCACTGTTTCTAGTTTACTGTCGGTATAATTAAACTGCAGGCGGAGGCATATATGTACATATATTCATTTCACATATGTGTATACAAACAGCTATGGAATGCACTGCAACTCGGATATTCCTGGAAGTCCCATCAGTTCGTTTGTATATTTCTCTTTACAAGATACATAGCTGCGCACTTTTGTATAAAAAGCAACGATTAAGCAAGTCTTGATCCCCAAAACGGAAGCGACCGATCCTGATAAGAGGAGAGGCGGCCAAGTCGAGTCTGCGATAAGCCCAATGTGTCGTTGAGCAATTAAGTGTACTATATGGCACATGGACAAAGCACTGGCGTAGAACTAGGGCGACATCTTGGTATGATTATGGGGCAGGTCTCTGGCAATACGGTTTTCGATTCGAGTCTGAATTAGCAGCATTAAGGTCAGCTTTTATCAGCGTCCACCTAAAAAGCATATATATGAAAATACATATGTTGTTTCAGAGCCTACAAGCACATAATATAAACTATATAGTGATTTTTTAAACGATTTTAAAAAAAAAGCTTTTGAACTGGGAACATGTGTTAAACATGCCTTGATTTGGTACACAAAATATTTCATATTTCCTTTTGTGGTTGAGAAAGTAAGAAAACCTTATATATAGAAATCATACCAAAGCTTATATTTACTTATAATATCATTTCTAATAATTTATTATTAAAAAATCGTATCAAAAGTTCAAAAAATCATAAATCTTTCTCAGTTTGAATCGCAAATATTTGCATTTCCGTTACAAACTGGCTTAATGAGCCATTAAATGGCCTTTTCCTTAATTCTGTTTTCTAGATATTTCTACCCTATTTCCCTTATAATAAACCCCATACCACTTTTCTTTTAAAAACAATGAATTCCTATTGTCTTCAATCAGTTTTTGCACGAAACCATAAATTAGATTCCTAATAATAGGAGATTTCCTAGATACATCTGGAAGATACAATATTCGCATTGACCTTTTGAACTCTTCAATAAAGGCAGGCTAGATTTTTCCGGCTTCATAAATTGTTTCCAATGGGAAAAAGAAGCCGCCGTTCCTCCACCATGCCCATTGGCATGTAAAACCAACCCCTAAGGGGTGAGTTACAACTCCAGAAACCGTTACGTGTCCTTGGCGGTACAGTTACGTAAGAATGTATCTCAAAGATGCTTTTTACGAAGCTCGAAGCGTAAGTTGGAAATATTTGGGTTTTTCCCGTAGCTATGGTTTGTTGACCTATTTGACCCACTGGCCTAGTTTTCGAATTTGCATATCAGCTTTAATAATTATTTTTAGAAAATATATTCTTTAGTTTTAGATCCCTTCCATAATGCGCTCCCTTTGGCTGCTGCTCGGCTTGGGGCTCTTGGCCTTGTGCCAGGTCCAGGCCTCCGAGGAGATCGATGATCTAGCCGACCTCGGGGACGATGACCTCAGCGACATTGACGAGAACGAAGAGGAGTACCTACGCCTCCTGGAAGAGAAGGCCAAGGTAGGTTTCCTTACAATAAAAGCCTCAAAATATCTTATTAAGAGAGATATTCCCATGCAGATAAAGGACGTGGAGCGTGAGAATGAAATCGCCAACAAGCTGGCCAGCGTGCGCCACAACCTCATCAATCCCGTGGTCGAGGTTGATCCCTGCGAGACCATGCCCTGCGGTGCCGGTCGCATCTGCCAGATGAAGGACAACGAGACTCCCGAGTGCGTGTGCATTCCAGAGTGCCCCGATGAGCTGGACACCCGTCGCCACGTGTGCACCAATGCCAACGAGACCTGGTCATCGGATTGTGCCGTCTACCAGCAACGCTGCTGGTGCGACAGTGGTGATGAGCGATGCACCAACCCCGACAACGCCCACATGCACATCGACTACCTTGGAGCCTGCCATGAGCCACGCGTCTGCACCGAAGAGGACATGAAGGACTTCCCCCGTCGCATGCGCGATTGGCTCTTCAACGTGATGCGTGATCTGGCCGAGCGCGACGAGCTGACCGAACACTACATGCAGATGGAGCTGGAGGCTGAGACGAACCACTCGCGTCGCTGGTCGAACGCTGCCGTGTGGAAGTGGTGTGACCTCGATGGCGACACCGATCGTTCCGTCTCCCGGCACGAGCTCTTCCCCATCCGGGCACCTTTGGTCAGCCTGGAGCACTGCATCGCCCCCTTCCTGGAGTCATGTGACTCAAACAATGACCATCGCATCACCCTTGTGGAGTGGGGTGCCTGCCTGGAGCTGGATGCCGATGACCTTATCGAGCGCTGTGACGAAGTCCAACGTTCCCAGCCACATCTGTTGGGTTAGTCACCTGCCCAGAGCCACAGATGGTCTTTAAATAAGTCTTCAAATGCCTTAAACTGTAACCACTTGCTTCCTTAATCCAAAGATGTCTTCGTTTTGTACGATTTTAATACTTTCTTTTAAGTTGAATGAAAATAAATGGTAATTACTTTCAAAATCTAACATTAGTTTTCATCGAAAAATAAAATATAATTCAAGATATTTTGTTTTGATTATAATGAATAACTAATCATAGTCATTAACTATTTCGCTATAACCTCTCTCATTAAATTTTACATATTTTTTTAAAATAAACTCAACTTAAATTCATGTATGCATCCTCTTCGTTTAAATTTTTGGAGAATAACAAGATTAACGCTTTTATTTTAAATTTTTATTAAATTTATTCGTGTAGTTATTTTTCTCTAAATTAAGATTTGTTTTTCTTTCATATTTAACCTCGCCTTAAGTGTGCGCGGGCTAATACGTTTCGTGTTTTTTTTTTCTTTTTGTATTTTTTTGTTGTGTTTTGTGTATGTTGTTGTATGCATTGTGTGTGTGTTTTGGGGAGATGCTAGGGTTACATAATTATGTATTACGTTGTAGTATATAAAGTGTGTGCGAACGCACAGAAATGATTACAACTCGTCGGTTTGTTTATCTGTCTCTTCCTTGGATTTCTGAATTTAACATTAATTTTCGCACATTTTGAAAGCGTCCTACTAGTAGGCCTGCGACAGAATGACGTTGCCCTTGCGCTGCGGATCCTGGACAGTCTCCTCCTTCTTTCCGATCAGCGACTTGTGTATATGCGGAATGACGCCGCCACCGGCAATGGTTGCCTTGATCAGGCTGTCCAGTTCTTCGTCTCCACGAATGGCGAGTTGTAAGTGGCGAGGAGTGATACGTTTCACTTTCAGATCCTTTGATGCGTTTCCAGCCAACTCGAGGACCTGTTAAAAACATTAGATATTATTACAACTGTACTATTATAATTTTTTTTCTTATTGGAATATCCAATTATGTTTCCGGAATAATTGGAAAACAATAGTAGTTCTCTTGCATATGAGCGACCACAAATTGCATCATTCTTTTTTGATTCCAAAATTAGAATTTGAAGTTGTAATTTGTGTTCGCTTTCTATGCCATCCATACATTGGGGGGGAAAGTCCCGCTACAATGTTGGACGCGAAAAGCGGGAAAAACTACGGCGGGTGCACTAACCTCGGCGGTCAAGTATTCCAATATGGCAGCAGAGTATACGGCTGCCGTGGCTCCGACGCGTCCATGGGATGTGGTGCGGCTCTTAAGATGACGGTGGATGCGACCAACGGGGAACTGAGAAGCACAAAACAACAAAAAAATGCGCATATATTAGTATAGTCTTGTTTATGTTTTGCTACCCCCAAAAATCCAAAACAAGCCACCGAAAAAGCACCCTGTATGTGGTGGAATATGCTCGGTGCGAGGTGAGAACGGAAAAGGCGCCAAAAGTACAGACAACAACAAAGGCCCGTTGAACTCACCTGAAGTCCCGCGCGCGCCGATCGTGAAACTGCCTTCGCCTTTGCCTTGCCGGAATCTTTGCCTGCTTTGCCTCCAGCCTGCAGAATAATAAAACACACAATGCACAATTAGAAAAGCACACAAGCCAACGCACAAAATGGAGGCGGTCGAATTGTGAGGTTAGGGCTGATCTTTCTGCCGCCCTTTAACACAATAACAAATGCGTGGGAGCCAGAGGAGCGGCAGTGGAGCACGGCCGGATTTTCAATTTTCGCGCTACGTGGTCCCCCCGCCGCTGGTTGCATCAATATTTGATTCGCGGGGGGCACGCGCAGTGGCCAAGCAACCTGCGCCGCTGCCGCTGCCACTACCGCTCAAAATTTCGCCGCAATTCCGCAATTACCATTTTTATTCAATCGATTTTTTTTCTGTTGCTGCGTTATCTGCGTTGGCGAGATGCTCTAGGCACTTTGGTTGCTGCCGCGTTGGGAATGATTGCTACACGGAATTCAAGCGTAATTTGCTCTGGGGGATTTCCTCCACGGTCTACACTTCTGCTCAGCGCTCGAAATTTTACACGAATGAACTGAAAAAGACGCCGTCAGAGAAGGAGCCATTCGGAGGAAAAATGCGTAGGGCTGCCAACTTGCTGTTTTTTTGCGTGAGAAAAACTATCGGTATCGAAAACTATTTAAAATTTTTGACACTTTTATTCAATGATAATGATGAATTATAATATAACAAATTATATACTTCAATTTAAATAATTATTCTGTTGCAATCGACTTTTTAAAAAGAAATTTTTCATAGTTTCATAAATAATTTTTCATAAAAAAATAAATTATTAATTGTCACTTAATCTAAATTTTTTGTATTTGGCATTTAAGTTATTTTTTTATTTATAAAAACATTTGAATTAGTGATATCTTTTGATTTGGAGAGTTGCTTAAGTTGGCATCTCTGCGGAGGACGCTACATTCGCCAAAAGTGGCAACTCTTTGGAACTGCGACTGTGGCGGCATTTCGAGCGGAATTAAGGACTTGGCTTATTTTGCGTTATTCACTGTCAGTTCCAAAGCCATGCCGCGTGTCGTCAAACTAAAAGCAGCTGCCGGCACAGCGCCGGCAAAAAAAGCGGCGCCGGCCAAGAAGGGCAAGAGCAAGCTGTACGACATGCCGGAGAAAATTACGGAGGGCACCGTGTTCACCGACATGACAAAGGGCCAGTGGCGGATTGGCACTTCTATTGGGATAGGGGGCTTTGGCGAAATCTACTCCGCTTGCAAAGTGGGCGAAAAGAACTACGATGCTGTGGTGAAATGCGTGAGTTGAAGTGAAAGTTATATCCCAAGAGCGCAATTAATAATACCTCTTTTTAGGAGCCTCACGGAAATGGGCCGCTCTTCGTGGAGATGCACTTCTACCTGCGTAATGCCAAGCAAGACGACATCAAACAGTTCAAGCAGAAGAAAGGTCTCAAGTCTCTGGGCATGCCCTACATCCTGGCCAATGGATCAGCAGATGTCAATGGACAAAAGCACAGATTTATTGTGATGCCGCGCTATGGCACTGATATATCCAAGTTCTTCTTAGAGAATGGCAAGATACTGCCCGAGGGCACCGTATACAGGCTGGCTATTCAAATGTTGGACGTATATCAGTACATGCACGGCACTGGCTACGTTCATGCCGACCTTAAAGCGTCCAATATCCTGTTGGGATTGGGAAAAGGCGGTGGCGCCCAGGCCTATCTGGTCGATTTCGGCCTGGCTTCCCACTTTGTAACTGGAGATTTCAAACCAGACCCCAAAAAGATGCACAACGGCACCATTGAGTACACATCAAGGGATGCACATCTTGGTGTGCCCACGAGGCGGTCTGATTTGGAGATCCTGGGATACAACCTAATTGAGTGGCTTGGCGCTGAGCTACCCTGGGTGACTCAGAAACTACTCGCAACTCCAGCAAAGGTTCAAAAGGCCAAGGAGTCTTTTATGGACAACGTCGAGGGCAGCCTCAAGTCGCTCTTCCCGAAAGGAGTTCCTGCTCCTCTCGGGAGTTTTATGAAGTATGTCTGCAAACTGTCGCATACTCAGGAGCCAGACTACGACTTGTGCCGTTCGTGGTTCGCGAACGCTCTTAAACAGATGAAGATCCCGAACTCTGGAGATCTGGATTTTAAATTGAAGCCACAAACCAGCAGCAACAACAACCACAGCCCACAGAAAACCAGCAAAGTGGCGGTTGCCAAAAGAGCTAAGAAAGTGGAATCTCCTCTCCTGAACTCCTCGATTGAGGAAGTTATATCGGCCAGCGACGAGGAGGAAGAAGTAGAAGTACTTCCGCGAAAGAGGCAACCCATTAAACCTTCACCGAAAGCTCGGCCGGTCAAAGTGTCGCCCAGAAAACGGGTAGCTACTTCTTCCGCTGACCAGCACACTCCCCCAAATCAGAAGCGTGTCAAGACTGAACCCAATGGCACCAAGAGCACGCCAAAAGGGACACCCAAGGCCAGTCCCAGGGTGGGGGGTACTCCCAGTGCCGCCAAATCTCAAACGCCCAGTGCATCCAAGCTGCAAACTCCCTCGGCCAGTGCTAAAATAAATTTCAGTCCGGCCATTTCCCTGCGTGGGCGACAGGGCGGCAAAACGGTGGTCAATGATGATCTGACTCCGAATCCCCGCTCCAATAAAACCTACGAATTTAATTTTGAGCTCGATGTGAGCATGGATGCTAATGTTATCGTAAATGTTAAGCGCAAAAAGACCGCCAAGGAACAGGCGAAATCGTCGCCCAAACCGTCTGCATCTCGGAGCTTGGCCAGTTCCAAAGACTCTCCAGTTACTAGAGTGAATCTGCGAAAGGTGAACGGTCATGGGGATGAAGGATCTCCATCGTCCAGCCGGAGTCCTCGCACACCAGCAGTCACCGTTCGCAAGTACCAACGATAGGTGTCATTGTTGTTTTTTTTTTGTGAGTTTCCATTATTGCATTTAATAAAGCCGCTGATTATTATTTATTAATTTTTGAAACATTCTGGGTTATCCCCCACTAAGCATAGTAGCTTATTTTAATTTTTAATGGCTGTTTTAAGGTGATGCCGGCACTTACATTGTTAAAATTAAAGATTAAATTCTAGTTTTAAGTTTCCAAAAAAAATGTATCTTTATTTTCAGTTTATAAATTACTGCTTTAATTCGCAGGTTTCTTTTTTTTTAATAATAAGTTAAATTTTTCAGAAAATATTTTGTTTAGAAAAATAAAAAGCTTTCACTGCTTTTTTTTACGTAAATCTTAAATCCTAAATCTTTTATTGTTTCGACCTGCGTTTGCTTCCGCCACTTTCGTGGTGCTTGGACGAGCTGCTCTTGGAACTTGACTTGGCACTGGAACTGCGACGCGAGGAGGAGGTTCCGCTGCCGCTGTGCTTATCTACACTTCCAATCCCGCTTAGCGTTCCTGAGGACTTGCTAGGGCGGTCTTCTTTGTGGGACTTGGACGAGGATGAGGATGATGACTTGTGACCATGTTTGCTGCTGCTACTGCTGCTGGCATTGGTTGAGCTGCTGGGTTCTGGTCTGTAGAATGGCGACGAGGAATTGGACGAAGTGGATGAACGGGAAGATGCCACCGAGGACTTGGTTTTGCTGGTGAGTGGCATGGAGCCCAGGGGTTCGTCGGCGATAAAGACCGTAGGTGTCACCGCTGCAGTCGATGAAGCTGCCCGACTGCTGCCACTGGGTTTGTTGCAACAATTGTCACATTGCCAGGTTTGCTCCTGATCGTCGGCTGCCTCCTCCTTGGTAATTGGCGGCTTGTGGCACTCCTGATGGTACATGGTGCCACACTTGGAGCACTCGATCAACCGGTTAGTGGCCGTGAACACCATTTCTCCGCAAACGCAACAGTTCAGGTCGCCAAAGTCTCCCGTGTCGCCTGTATTAACTATTCCCGCTGCACTTAGGCCATCATCGGAGTCGGCGATGGTGTCCACCGAATCGGAGGGCTCCTTATCCGGAGAGTTTGTCAAATTTATGATTTCATCCGTGTTGATGGGTTGCGGCGGAGTGGCAGCTCTGCCCGGGAAAACAGCCTCGTCGTCCTTCATGCGCTGGGACATGTTGTTGGTCAGATTCTTCTCTGGGCCATATCGTGCCTTAAAAGCCTCATCCAAGAGCAAACGCAACTCAGATGCCGATGTGGGATTGCTGGAGTGCAGCAACTTGATAGCCTTTTTGAGTACAGGATCCACCTCCTGGGCAGCGGTAGCCACTGCAGCTATATTAGCAGCCATGGTAAACAGGAAAATCTGTTAATTTTAGTTAACAAAAATGTTATGAATTAAAAAAACAAGTTATTTTTGAAGTCTTTCAATCTGATATGCCTAGGAGATGCAAACTCCAGCTGATTTTGTTTAGAGTTGCCAACCACTTGGCTAGTTCTTCTTCTTCCACGCCGGTGCCATTCACAGGCAATCGTGTAAATAACAGTTCTTGCCTGTTTGTTTTTAGCCAGGTAATTCAACGGAAAAATATAAAGGTACATATATGTGTTTTTCCAATTAACGGTTTACATGTATGTCGTTCGTTTTCGTGAAAATCGTGAAAATGCGACGCATTCGTGAAATTATATGCTTCTCGCTGCGGCCTTTGTGACAATAAAATTTTTAACAGCCGGCCGTTGAAAAATCGAAGAAAGAGCGAGGCACTAACAATAACAAATCGCTATTGCCTCTCAAAGTAAACAGTTTTATAGGTCTGGTGATAAGGCAAATAATATTGCTGGTAATCTGTGAAGTATTAGTAATACCATAAACAAGGTGCTCAGTTTCTTGTGGATTTCAGTTCCTTCATTCTGTGTTTTTTTCTCTTTAGAACTGCAGGTGAAAAAAATGCGCTGCAGCTCCGTAAAGGATTTCCCCACCTCACCCTGGGCACTGGTGAGTAATAGATTTTAAAATATATTTTTAAAAAACTAAAACATCTTACCATTACTTGTTTTTTCTTTGCAGTTGTGGTTTTTATTATGTTTTTGCTGCAGCATTGGTTTTGCCGCTGACGCAGCCGATCAGCTGGTAAGTGGGTGGTTGGGTGGTGGGTGGGTGGCGAATTGTGGGCGGCTAGTTTGGGGGGGATGTTTGTTTGTTTTCGTTTGGTTTGGCGCTGCGCACTTGTTGCCGTTTTGGCCAAGACCCCTTTGTTGGATTTTTAAGTGCATGTTTACGACCCAAAGACCACACACCCGTACAACAGCACATATGTATGGTGGTTCCAGTCTTTGTTGGCCGGGAATAGAAGTCAATCAGTCCCCAGTTTACTGATAAGAAAACAATAAAAAGGTCTAAGAGTTACCCTACATATACCTTCAAATTACACAAAGCTCTTTATGAATCAACAAAGATATAAGATTAAATGTTTTATTTTTTATAAAACTTATTCAGAATAATTATTGTTATTCATACGTACTATAACTCAGAAATTCTGAGTCAGAATGTGCCTATGTTTTAAAGATTTGAAGTACTGATAGTATTTAAGGGGTTAAAAATAGTAGCAATAATGTACCCTAATAATTATACCACAATATCCTATTTTCTCAGGATTTTTCCACCCAGGAATGTAAGCTTAAAGAACCCATATATGGCAGCACCTTCGACTTTAATGGTCTTCACTCGGATCTGGCCCATGTGATAGAAAGTCCGAGCAATGGAAACGATAAATTCGATTTTAACCTCTGCGGCAATCTCACTAAAACCTGCAATGGTGAAAGTAATGTAGCCGCCTGTCTTAAAAAAAATGGCAAGGAGTACATTCTAGGTAAGAAGAGTCTCCAAAGAATTCTCTTCTAAAATAACTAACTATTATAAATATTTAAATCTTTAAGGTCGTCAGCATGAACTGCACTATAAGGATGGAAAGATGTATTTTAAATACAAAGGCGGGGCCAAGTGTGAGAATGGGACGAAGGAGAATCCTAATTATCAACTGCATCTCATCCTCAGCTGCGATTATACCGTTGATGTCCAGCCCATCCATATTACGCCCTATGTAAAATTCTTGAATATAAAAGAATCAGATAAAGATTTTTATATTTCCATTCTTTAACCCTAGTCCGATGAAGCCTGCTCCTATTATATAACTTACGAGACTCCCCTGGCTTGCCTTTCCATCCCGGATGCCCAGCAGTCAAACAGTTGCAGTGTCAAGGACCCTAAATCAGATCTAACCTTTGATTTAATGCCTTTAAGCGACAACAATTACAGAACCAGCAATCGTCAGAATCAGTTCTTTTTGATAAATGTTTGCAAGCCCGTTCTCTATGGACAGAATAGCATGTGTCCGCCTGGAAGTAGCATTTGCCTATTTGATCCAAAAGAAACGGACTTTAAAAAGCGGTATGAATTATTTGAATTACTATGGGCTACTACTTTCAGCTTACTCTATACTTTTATTTCAGCTTCACCAACTTGGGTAACAGTCAGTCGCGTCCGGTGGTTGAGAATGGACAGCTTTTGCTTAGACACGAGTCTCCAACGCCTTGTGCCCACAACTCCAGTGTTAATTACACCAGTGTGATTTACTTTAGCTGTGATAAGGAAATTCGGGTGGGTAGATAACTCCTAGTTCCTGTCAAACATTACATAAATATGTTTTTCAGAATGCCCATCCTGAGTTCTCTGGCCTTGGGGCTGATTCCTGCACGTATCTTTTTAACTTTGCCACACCGCTGGCCTGCAAGGATTTGAAACCGTGCACAGCCTTCACTTCCACCAATCAGCAGTAAGTGTTCGAGGTCTTAATCATTTCATCTTAAGTTTAAATACCTCTATTTACCTTCGAATAGCCTGGATCTCAGCTCGCTTAGCACTAAGCCCGCTCACACTCTGAACAAAGATGGCCGAAACTATACTGTGGCGGTGTGCGCTAATGCCGGGAATCCCTGCCAAGAAAATGGCGGTAAGTCGACCATTTTCGCCCTAAAATATTAATACAGGTTTTAAGTGCTGATGCAAAACTTACTCGCCATAAAGCAGTCGTAATTAAAGCCGTAAACTAGTAACTCTATAAACCCCATCGTTCGCAGAACTCCTGCAGGGCGGTATTAATGATTTTTTTATTGCCATTCTGGTCGAGTGGCCCTCTTTGATGGCCATAATCGTCTTGGTAACCGAAGAGGAATGTAGGGATAGGGATGAGTTCGGTCAAGTGTTGACCATTTCATCCGCTTACCACTAAAGCGCACACTGAAGGGGGTATTTGTAGATATCCCCTTAACATATCCAACCATAAACACACAGTTCTGTATTTGCAAATGTGGAAACGAGGGTGTGCTGATAATGATTTAGATCTGTGATGTGGTCCGTCATATATTTACATAATTTACGAGCAGGTTCCTTTTTTTATCCTTCCCAACAATCGCTCCCTATATTAAATGCATCAACGTGGATGTTTTATCTAATTTTTCGTGTATAAACCCACAAAAATATATTTTTAGTTCGTAAGTTTATTTAATTGTTTAATGGTAAAACTAGTTAAATCTGTGAAAAAGTTCTGTTGTTTAAAATTACATCTCTACCTCTAAATTTGCTTTTAAAATTGGTAGAGCGTTATTTATGCTGCATATTGTACATAATTCCAGCATCACAGAAGCTTTGAAACTATATTTTTCTATTTATTTCCCTTGTATGCGTTGCATTTACATGGGGGACTGTTCGCCATGGCAAATAACAACTTTTTCCCATGTGGGCCGTTGGCATGTGCAACGCGTCTGGTATCCATAGACCTTCATACCCATACTGATGTTGGTGCTGGTGCTGGGGCTCACGCAGAGCTGTTTTGTTGGTATTTGTGCACTGGGTGTCCTGCATTCATAGTTGACTGCAGACGCATATCCGTTGGCGCGTCCTTTTCGGTCGGTTGGCTCTCTCGCGGCACACAGGAGGGATATCATGGCCCGCTGCTGGGCCTAAACAAATAAATAAGTGTGTGCTCCCTTTTGGCAAACTGATGGCCATCCTGGCCTGCCTGGGGGCAGCCGTGGGGGCAGAGCCCTACATGAAATTTTCATTTGTTAGGCAAATAGCAGGCACACACACATACACGGTCTCGCGCACAGCGCAAATTTGGGGCGCAGGACATGGCAGCGCTTTTGTAAACAAGCTGGCGCTCACATATTCGCTGCTTGGCGCCCAGCTGACACTGGCAGACGGCATATTGCTGCCACGGATCTCCTCCAGCCCTCCTTCCGCCCGTGGCGGGGCATTAAAATCTCCTGGTTTGCATAGTTGAATTCAATATTTGAAGGCATTTGGCAGTGGCCCTGGCCCCTGGCCTGAAAGTGAGTTATGGACACGCCCACCGCCAAAAACGCCCATATAGCAGGTCCTGCCCATCCTGCTGCCGTTAATTGCTTATGCAGCATGCGTTGCCCTGTCATTTTGTGTAATTTTCATTTGCGTTTTCGGTCTGAATTTTGTATTTATTTATGGTGGGGCCTGTGAATTGCATTTTTCGGGGGCAACTGCTTTTGATTGTTGCCATAGATTTTTTTTTGGGCTTCAATTAATTGCTACATATATTGTTTGCAATAATCTAGTTGGTATTTACTTTATAGGTTTTCAAAACTCAATTAAAGCAAAAGAAAATTATGTTCAAAAATATGGTCAATATCAAAATTCAATTCTCCAACTTGATGCTCTTTTTCTTCAACTTCTATATTTATAATTTCCAATTTTCTGCCTTTATTGTATTCGTATTTTACTCCTTTTTATGGAAAGGCTCTGGGCTCTCTCCTCCTTATTTGTGTGGCGCCAATGTTGGAAGGCCAGATTCAATTTGGCCAGAACTGGACAAAAAGCATGCCCCCTGACCCGTGCACACCCTCCTTCCAGTCGTAACTAACACTTGCCGGCAGCTGTTTGGCCAAGAAGCACCATCCAAGTGGCATCAGGCAGCTAGTAAATCGTTTTATATTTGTTTTCTCGCTTCTGACGGTTTTTTTTTTCCTTTGTTTTTTGTATATTGTGTTTGGTAGCCATGGCTGGCGGCTGCTGGTCAATGTTTTTAGGGTTTCTTTGCCCTTTCTTGGGTGTTTTCTTATTGAAATTCAATTTGCCAGAATTTTCTTAACCATTTGCAGTTGTGGGTGGCTTCTGTTCCATCGTCCCCCTTTTGATGCCATCTGCGTCCTAAAATATTTTGCGGCATACCGTTCCGACTTGCCTTATCAATGCCACAAAGTCATCCCCTTTATATTTAACCCTTCTCCGGCGAATGGCGAAAGGCAAAAGGCGGAATTTAAACAATGTTTCGTTTCATGACCGCAATGCGAGCCCCAAGGCTGGTTTCGAGCAGAGATTGCATTGGGATTGAATTTGCGAGGGTGGCTGTCTGTCCATCTGTGTATCTGTGTCGGTGGTTACTGCCTCTGACCAGGTCAATCTCGTTGGATAATCTTGACAAGGAAATGATTTTCACCCCAAGGTGTACGCACAACAATACACATCCTTCACACATTTGTGGGTTGTTTAAACATTTCTCATCCCAATTCTCATCCGATTCTCAAGCGGAGTATCTTAAACGACTTGTGGATCGATTCTCCACCATTCTGCATCAAAATCCAAAGACAAAATATTTTTGAGATTTTTTGTCCATTTTTCGTGAGGGGATCCCTCAAAATGTCGTTTTCCCCTATAGGGTCCCCGGTGATGGCTATATCTTCCCCAATTCTCATCCGATTCTTAAGCGGAGTATCTTAAACGATTTGTGGATCGATTCTCCACCACTCTGCATCAAAATCCAGAGACAAAATATTTTTTAGATTTTTTTTGTCCATTTTTCGTGATGATCCCCACCATTTGTGATGGAAATGGGGTTTTCCTCTATAGGGCCCACAGTAATGACTATATCTTCCCCAATTCTCATCCGATTCTTAAGCGGAGTATCTTAAACGATTTGTGGGTCGGTTCTCCACCATTCTGCATCTAAATCCAAAGACAAAATATTTTTGAGATTTTTTGTCCATTTTTCGTGAGGGGATCCCTCAAAATGTCGTTTTCCCCTATAGGGTCCACGGTGATGGCTATATCTTCCCCAATTCTCATCCGATTCTTAAGCGGAGTATCTTAAACGATTTGTGGATCGATTCTCCACCATTCTGCATCAAAATCCAAAGACAAAATATTTTTGAGATTTTTTGTCCATTTTTCGTGAGGGGATCCCTCAAAATGTCGTTTTCCCCTATAGGGTCCACGGTGATGGCTATATCTTCCCCAATTCTCATCCGATTCTTAAGCGGAGTATCTTAAACGACTTGTGGATCGATTCTCCACCATTCTGCATCAAAGTCCAAAGACAAAATATTTTTGAGATTTTTTGTCCATTTTTCGTGAGGGGATCCCTCAAAATGTCGTTTTCCCCTATAGGGTCCACGGTGATGGCTATATCTTCCCCAATTCTCATCCGATTCTTAAGCGGAGTATCTTAAACGACTTGTGGATCGATTCTCCACCATTCTGCATCAAAATCCAAAGACAAAATATTTTTGAGATTTTTTGTCCATTTTTCGTGAGGGGATCCCTTGAAATGAAGGGTATATGCAAAGTTTCAAGTCGATAGCTTTAAAACTGAGAGACTAGTTCGTGTAGATACAGACATATAGACAGGACATGCTTATATCAACTCAGGTGATCCTAATCGAGAATATATATATACTTTATACGGTCGAAATGTCCCCTTCACTGCTTTGCACACTTTTGACCAAAAGTATAATACCGTCTGCAAGGGTATAATAATAAAAGAGGTTTCCTTTTTAAGGCTTTCTTTAAACAAAAAGCAAGAAATATATATATTTTGTAAAATAAAATTATATTATAAATCGTTTTTACTAAACAGCACTTTGCTATTAACCACAGCTGTGTGCATAAATCCCTAGAGGACGTCTTGTGTTTTTCTCAGCTCTTGTTCTGCTAAATTCAATTGCAGACTGCTGCAGGACTCGCACAGGTCCTGCTTTGGCCACCCATATACGATGTATGTTTACACCGGGCTATATGGACCAACATACATACATATATTGTCACGCAGACCCACAATGTCATTTATCAATTTAGTTGACATTCGATTTCTTTTTCGATTTGCCAAAAGCCACCTCAATTGGTATTTTTCTCCTTTTATTTTCTTGTTGTTGGTCATGGCTCTTGAACCGGGATGTGTGGGTATTTGTCCGATGTCTGCAATAAAGAATAAAAATTTGGAATGAAGAAAGGGGGTCGACTGGAATTACCATACTCCAGTCAAATCACAATCACAATGCTGTCTGCTCTAGGGCGCTCAATCAAAATCTGGCAAATGTGAGTGACGTTGCTCAAAATGGTTGGTTTGCAAGTGAAATGGTAGATTGAAAAGGGAAGAGCCAAAAAGGACGACTTCAGGCCAGAAGAGGACACTGTTTATTTCCATGAAATTGAGTTGTCAGTCTGCTTTTAGCTGCAAAAATATCTTCAAGCTTATTTTGGGCAATTAAATCTTGAATTCTTTTGGAAGAACTCTTAAATCTTAACCCATTTTTGAAGCACCCGATATTCCTTTGTGCTCTTATGATCGAAAGTCACTGAACACTGGATAGTCCTGGAATCAAAAGCGTTCGGCTTGCTTGAAAAAAGAAAACCGAAAAAGTGCCTTGCAAGTTGACAAACAAGAAGAACAATTAATTTCGCCTTTGAAGTCCTGCCGCTACTGCCGGTGCCTCCGCCATCTAGTGTAATCCCTATATTCCTGTGCTAGACGAGAAACCAGGACTCGCTTTTACACTGGAACCAAGACCACTAGGAACTAAGGAATATAGATATTTGGTGTAGTTAAGGGTCTATCTCTTTGATTAAAGCTCCTTAATGATAATGCCCAATATTCATTTCAAGACTTTAGTTCTATTTACAAGTTCTAATCTTTTTCCAAGTGTAGTCCGGTTTTTTTCAAGCCTGGATTTACTGCCCATGCTGGTCTTTTGTTTGTCTTTATGGGATGGTATTTGCCTTTATTCTTGACCCTTTTGCGCTTTGCTGGAACACTCAATTGATCCTACCGATTCCCGTCCACTTGCAGGCGCCTGTTACGAGCAGAATTCCACGACCATCAGCCTGGGCAACTCCAACTCACAGCTACGCTTCAATCAAAGCGGCTCGCTCTATTTGCTGTACGAGAACGGTGCCGAATGTCCCACACCAACCGGCAACAAGCGCTGGTCGACGAAAATCGAGTTTGTCTGTGCGAACAATGCCACCAAGGACAATGCATCTGCAGGCAATACGGACACTGAGGCTCTGAAAATAATTGAGGACTCCAATTGCCAGCTGTTGATCCAATATCAGACGCCTCTTGCCTGCCGGGAGCCGATTAGATGCCAGGCCAGCATCTACGTGGACCACACCACCGATGGACTTGGCAGCAGTGGGGACGAGCTGATCGACCTAACGCCATTGATTAGCGCCAGCGACAACTACGAGGCAAGAGTCGAACTACCGGCCAGCATGGAGCATCTGGTGCCCAAATCGACCAAGGTGAGCAGGCGACGTTGATGATTTCCCCCAGGCCATGCAGGATCCGAACCGGACCGTAATTTGCTGGCTTTTGTCTTTGCCACTCAGCCAGGACCTCGTCTGAAAACGAATTCAGCCCAAAACCAAGCCTTTGTCTACCTTTTATTTCTTTCCAGTTCTTTTTGAATGTGTGTCGTCCATTAGTGCCCAAATACCAATTAGGCTGTGCCGGCGGATCTGCTGCCTGCATGGCCAAAGTGGCGGCCAATGGAGCCCCCGAGGAGGAGCGTGTAAGTATTATACACAAAAAATGTATTTATATACCAAAAAATATAAATTTTTTTGTAGAGCTGATATATATTTTTTCCCATTTAACTACAAAAGTTACATAACATTTTACACTTTATAAAATGAATTCGTGTTTAAAAACATTCTATTTAAGACCTTTTTTTCGAGTGATTCGTACACATACTGGAATATGTAAGAGTGTGCTGGGAAAGGGATGCAAAGGTTGGATATATGTATACGTGAGAGTGCTTGCCACGTGAAAGAAAGCCGCTTATGTGCTTAAAACTCTTTGCCTGGATGTATTCTATGAGTGGGAGCCCAGGGGATCACTCGTAATTTACGCTAGACCTCGGCCCGGTCTCCACCTCATAAATGCCTCAATATGGTCGTGGCCGTTTGGTCAAATGCCCAAAATTGTGGCGCCATTCATGCATTAAATATGCAGCAATCTAATTGCTAAGCTCCTCTCACATCCCCCCCTTTCCAGACCCTGTAATTCCCCAATGACTGACCAGTGGATTTGGTAGCTTCATTAAGAAGGAGACTTGGCCTCGGACTGGGACTCAGTTGCGGATTCAAACTCTCACACTGTCTGCCGTTGACAGCGGCCAAAAGTTGTTTAATGCCAAAAATCTCCTCACTGAGCACCGAGAGCTGAGCATGTGGCCAATGGTCAGTCCACTCCCGACCAGGCAGGCCGGCAACTGTCCAACTCCGACGGGTTGGGTCGGGTCGGGTCGGTGGCTAAATACTTAAGCCCACAAAAGTATGCAATGAAATTAGCTTGAAACGAGATTTTTGCCAGGACCACAAAATGGTACAAAAAAATAAAATGCTAGCCCATTATCCCTAATGCCCTGGGCTGGCCAAAATCTTTGCAAATGAATGAGATAATTGGAGAGGATTTCTCCGGGATTCAATAATTCATAAATGCTTCCAGGAAAGCAGTTCACACATGCCCCAAAAAGAGCTTGATTTAATTGAGGTAAGAATCCTGATGTTTTTGAAGTTATTTCTTTTGAGAACTTATCATGGAGTTCTTTTTTGAATAGAACTTCTATTGTTGTCATGTCTTCTAGTTTTTTATCTTTCGCGGCTTTATGCCAGTTTGGTTTTGGCCAGAAAGTTTGTTGAATTAAAATGTCACCCCGTCTAAGTTTCCACGCCCCTCGAGCCGCAACCGCCCCACTTCAATCAGCACTATAATTGCATGCGACAATGGATGCACGCCAACGGGTCGAAGGGGAGGTCATATTTTTGGCGCACTTTCCATATGCCCGAGGCAAAACAGCCGACCGCGCGTTATAGTCTAACCTTTCCCACGACCATGTCACCCCCAGAGGAGTGGGTTCACCCTACGCTCTAGCACCTTCCGGCTTCAACTTTTATCACAAATTTCTCCGGAACAAAAACAGTGTTCAAGTTGCTAAAAAATAAGCACGTACGCGCTGGAAATGGCAATGCGCCGGAGTTGGGTGGTTAGGTGGCCAGTGGGGCCAGCGGGGTGGCTTGTGGTTGGGAGCACGCGAGTGAAATATTTCAGCATAACGTAAGGTCAGCCAACGTAACGCCGCGTTACGTAACGAAACGGAACGGAAGGAAATGGCAAAATGTGGCAGGGAGCTGGGAGTAGGGAGTAGGGAGCAGCATGGGTAAAATATCTGTAAAAACAGCTTTTAGCGGCCAGCAGCTTCCATATAAGGGGATGTGCGCCTACCGGCGACGTGCTCTGCAAAGCACTTCCGTTGGGCGGATGGGCGTATGGGCGTGAGGGTGGAATGTATGGTGGGTGGCGGCTTAAAGTGCCATCGGCATTGTTTGCATGCCGTTGGCCTAGAAATAACGCAGTCATGGAAAATATATTTTTATAAAAATTCTATTGCTTTATTTTTTGTAGCTCCGACTCTTCCGCGACAGAATCTCGCAGAGCCCTGCTCCCTGCCGTCGCCATCCAACCCCTGTTGACATTTTGTGCCACGTTTTGCATTTTGAAAATGCTCCGTTTCCAGAGCATTTCGTGTGCGGAAACGGAAATGTGCTGCTCGTAGCTGCTGACGGGCACTTGAGCAGACCCATACCCCCCCTCCCCTCCCTCCAAAAAACGAGAGGGCCCCTTAACCACGCCCACTCATTGGCAGTTGTCGAACGTTGTCGCCTGCATTGGAATCTCATCCCTCGCCCCGTAACTGCTCTTTATCGCATGCACATATTTTAATGTGCTGCCATTGCATATCCCCCGGCTAACGCTCACAATGGAAGAAGCATTGCCAGAATCCTGGGGGGGAATGCCATTAACCCATGTGATGCCGCTGGGGTTTGTTGGTAACAAGCAGTACGGTAGTTTATCTGAAATATTTCGAAACTATTTTTAGGCTTTATTTTATAAAAGAATGTAATCATTCTTAAAACTAGAAGACCATCGAAAATATTACTCATACGCACTGTTGGCTTGTAAGTTTTTGAGCTATTTATGTTTGATATTCATGGTTTTAGAGGGTTAAGTGACTTTCAATATATATATATATCTATCTACGATGGCAGTTAACTTTCGAAAAGACCCGGATCAGCGACACGTTTGATTTTTTTGTCGAAAACAGCGCCTTGGATTGTGAGTGCGATTCCGAGTCTATTCATTGGCATGCAGCGACTTCGTTGACGGCGTTTGACTTGTGCCAGTGCAAATTTGGCAACGGGCATGTGACTGGCATGGCAATTGGCCTGGCATCCTCCTCCTTTAATCCCTCCACTCCGTAATCGGCTGCTCGGCAGGACAGGACCTTCAGTGGGTGCCTCTTCCACTCCCACTACCACTTCCACTCTGCCCATTTGCATTTGCATTTGCACTTCCGACAATAACCACAAAATCGTCACAATGGCTGCCGCTTGGGGTCCACCCCTCCCCTACCCCCCATGAAATCGGATTAATAATGAAATTGATCAAATTGTTGAGGAAACAGCTGAATGCCTGCGCCACCCTGGGCATAACTCGACTTGACTGGCCATTGTGCTTATTGTTGTCCCTGTTATTGTCCTGTCCTTCCCTGTCATGGTTGTTGTTTGGACTTCTTGGCTTTATCGGTCATTGTTGTTGTAGTTTCGTAGATACCAGGGCGGTTGACCCTTTCTCACTCAATCCCTTGCTGAGATCCTTTGGGAGGCTCTGCCTTAGGTCCTTTCCCGCCGGCATGTTTCATGAAAATGGCTGAGTATGCACGTATTTCCATTTCTTTCATCAGAAACTAAGTATGGTTAAAATTCGTTTTCACTTAAAAGTATGGTATATCTTAGGGAGTGTTCTTCCAGATCTTCTAATTATTTTTCCATCCCTTAATCCATGCTTCTTTCCAGCCAGGTTATTTTCGTCCTTAAGCTTATTTCCTCAGGACCAGCTCATTCGATTTGGCATTGCCCACTGCCTAAGAGAAATTGATGCCCCTGCCTCTAGTGGTATTAGTTTCCCACTAATTAGAACGAGCTACCTAAATAAATGTCATGTCCTGAAATCCTTTCAGGATTCCAAAACAGTTCTTTTAATCTTTCCTTCGTTTCCCCCACTCACTCGCTCACAATTCTCGTTAAAGTTTCGATTTGTTTCCCTAGCTGAGCCAAAGATTTTCCAACAATCAAGACAAGATTTTCCTCTTGTGTTTCCCTCTCCCCTGGCCGGCCGGCATGGCCTTGTCCTGGCCCTTGTGTCCTTTGTGCTTGGTTTCGTTTCTTCTTCAACTCATTTATTTGTATCTGCAAACAATTAAGTTACTTTCAGACTGGCCGGTCACTCGTCGCTTGTATTTACTTTGGTCTTGTGTTTTTTCTTTCTGGTATTCCTGGGTGGAAAGTTTTTGTGAAACTTAAAAAAAATAATCACAAATATCCAGGCGCACGCACATTCGCACACCAAAGCATACAGAGAAGTTACTGGCTTGTTCAAATGCGATAAGAAAGTTTTTCAATAAATTTTGCACAGCAAGCTACTGGGAAAACTTACTGCCCTGTGTTCTAAGTCGGTAAGCTGGCGCCTCCAAAAGCGCCGACAAAGTCCTCTCGATGTTACGTCCTTTGCCGGTTGCCGGTTGTGCCTCCCCTTTTTCTCCGTCCATGCTAATGAGGATGGGATTGCCGAAGGTCAGGCCAAAGGAGAACCCCGTCTGCAGCCCCCGTATCTTGTTGTGTATTTGCTGATGGAGCATTAGCTGCGATTTTGATTTTCAAATGGATTTTCAAAAGGGGAAAGGGAATAGCCAGTGAGGCGGCTAGCAATAAATAATAGAGCAAACTGCTAAAACATCGCCTGAGCTGCATACGGAATGAGATCACAACCAGGGTCCGGAGTACCCTCTGCCACTAATACGTTTAAGATGAGACGACAGCATGTGCACCGCTTGCCGCCATCGACCTTGTTGACCCGAGCATAAATCTTGTGCCACTCGAACGCCAATGCACTTGCTTTCCAGCTCGGTCATCCTTACCATTCCTCCCTCCACCCGTACTTATCCTTCTCACCCATCTCCTCCTCCTCCTCCTCCGGATCCGGGTCTGTCTGCTTTTTGCGCATTAAGCTCACGTCGTTGGCCGGCTAGTTGGATAGCTGGCAGCGTTTAAGCTGCCTGATTGCCAATAGCAGCAGTTAGCGTGCTCCATCGATGGGGGCAGCAACAGCTGCACAGGCGACAAGCTGGTCAGATGCCAGAGATTCCTCTTCTGTAAAGGATTGGTGTTTTATTTAGATATTGTACATAATACATAAGTAAAAATAAGCTTGATGTCTTGAATGCTTTTGTTTCTGAAAACAAAATCAATAAAGAAAAAATTCTAGAAAATTCATTCTAAGCTCCAAACAGCTTCCTGCACACTCGTCAGGTGTCCTCTATGCCATTGAACTATCCATTAAATTGTCGTTTGTGCTGACTCGAACCGGCATGTCTTGGTGCATCCTTTGCCACACCAGTTATCATCGCATCGATGTACTGGCCACTGCTCCCCGATTCCGCCGGTTGGCCCGGATACCGGCGACATCGGTAGCAACAAGCAGCCAGGCGACCGGCGACACATAATCGTGTGCGTGGCTCAGACAGGGATTTCGAGTTATTTGCCGCAATCTCAGACATAAACTTAAACATTTCGCTTTCGACGAGCACGCTTTAGAGCCCCCATCTCTCTCCTCCTCGTTTGATTTCAGAGCATGGGCTTTCCGTTGGTTTCGCTATCGCGAAGGAATCGTACCTCCGCCGAGCTGCTGTATGTGAAAGGCGATCCCTGCCCCATGGACAACAAAACGGACCTGTCTACGCGCATCCTTTTCAACTGCAACATGCGTGCGGGTCGGGTAAGTACACAAAAGAAAATCGGAGGCTATAAGAAATTATAGAATTAATGATATTTAAACTTAAAGAGGGATATGGCTAAATAAACTCAACTGAAGTTGCAGAAAAAAATATAATTGAATATAAGAAAAAACCATCTATTTCTTGAAGTGCAACCCAGCCATATCCGAACAAATCCGGGAAAGTATTCCCTGGGTTTTGGTCGTCCATTTAAGCGGTCAGCTTTGGCTGCAGTTGGGATTTCAGTTACGGGGAGCATTTATGCAATTACTTCAGGACCATAGGCCCGACCTGTAGCAAATGGCTTGCATGGTTCTAATGGCTTCCTTTGCACCTTTCAGGGACAACCGGTGCTGCGCTCAATCGAGGACTGTGCCTACGATTTCGAGTGGGAGACCAATGTCTTTTGCCCGCCGCACGAGTGCACTTTCAATGCGGAAACCTGCGACCTGGTGCACGACGAGCTGGGTCAGCATTTCAACTTCAAGAGTGCGCCGTTTACCAAAGACGGCAAGATTGAGGTGAGTGGATTGTGCCCAGAGTGTGTGGGTGTGTGTGGCTAACCGAAGGTATCTATGTACTTGTCGCAATTTCAGGTTGACTACAACGCCACCAAGATGTCGGTAAATATTTGCGGAGAGCACCGTAAGGCGATGACGGACTACTCGCAGGCCCTGGTCAACATATTCTTCAGGCACGAGTCGCCTAATTGCGGCAAGGAAGGTGAGTGCTGCACTATGGCTAATTCGATTTACATATCCCGGAAGCCCGGGCTCAAGAAATGGCGAAAGGCAGCGTTGTCGCTTGTCGCTTCCGCTTCTGCTGCCGTTTCCGTTTCCTAATCCGTTTCCCTTTCCGTTGGTGCAACACGCGCGCTCAGCCGCCATTTTGGTTGCTTTTCTTTATCTAGCTTTTCGTGTTTTTTCTTCGCCATTTTTGTTGTTTTTGGTGCGCTTTTGGGTGTTTTTGCGGGAAGACTGGAGAATCGCATTAGATTTGGCGAATAGCCCAATGCACTTTCTTTCGCGACCCAACCTCCAGGCATTTTATCGCGTCATTTTTGTCGCTGCTGCTCGTATTTTTTTTAGCGGCGCCGTTCTTGCAACTGCGACATTTTGGGCCACTTGTCGGGGCTGCCTTTTTTTTCGCTGGAGTTCCACTCGTTTGCTTTTTAACTACGATTTTTTTTTGTCAGTCTGCGGTGGAGATAAAAAGCAAGCAAACTGCTTGAAATTATACAATAAAAAAAGATTGAAATAAAAATAGCAAGCTAACGAAAAAACTGTCTGCGAGATAATGCGGTAAAATAATCTAGATGCTCTTGGGGAAATCTCTCTTTTTCTCTGGAGTTGTCCTGTTTTTTTCTTAGTCATACAAATATACATATATTTTTTTTGTTGTTGATGTGATACTACTGCATGAATATTTAATGCATGCAGAGCAGACACTCTGCAGGGTGGAATTGGGCTGGAGACTTCTCTGGCTTCAAATGGTCTGAGATTTCCCCCGAGCTGAAGCTTTATTTTCGCACAATGATTTTTATTCGTGCCATTGCATGGCACTTAAAACTTTGCCATTAAAACAAAACTTTTTATTTTGAAAAATAAAAACTGACGACGATTTAATTATGACACATCTCCATTGTCCCAGTCCCGGCCGTAAAATGGAATTATTTTAAAACTCTGAGGGGCACACAAACTGTTTCGCCACTGTTGGATGACAATGCGCAATCTGCAAACGATCGGACAATTTTAATATGCCCAGTGACAGGCGTTAGCAGATATCCGGAGTACCGCCCGGTCTGTGGGGGCGGAGTGGAGGAATAAATGTACGAGACATTGCCAAAATCCCAACGAGTTGTCGGCGTTTAGATTTTGTGTGGCTTTGCGACTGTAACTGGTCCGACATCCCCAGCCCTTCGCCTTCAGATTAACGCAGCAGAGGCCGTAGTATTTGACCGACAACAGAAGCCTGACCCCATAGGATTCAGTGGGACTACGAATAGGAGGGCCGGGTGCCGGGGGCCGTAGGCTGGGAGCTGTGTTGTCGTCTCTGGTGATAATTATTTTTGGCTTTTATGCGATAACTTTGCGGTGTCCAGGTCCAATCCCCATGCCCGAATATGCCGCATCCCTTGGATAGTCAAAACCATAGTCATGGCCCCCTTGTTGTGTTGTATCATTTGAAATTTTGATAAGGATACAGTGTGCGGATGCCAGCCTTTGTCTGGGCCATTAAAGTGGAAAGTGGAAAGCCTGGCTTTGGGGGCTGTCTCTGCTTTTTGTTGGCTTTTATTAGGGTTAAGATTGTTTTGAATGTGGGTTCATTTGAACTAATTAAAGTGCTCTCGAAACTAATGCCCTATTACGTTAACATCCTTTGCAGGCACGATGAACGTCCAGATCCGGCTGATATGCAGCAACCAGACGACGACCAGCAGCACCATTTCCAGTGTAAGTAGTCTGAAGGCTTAAACCTGACTCACAAAGCAGCTAAGCCACCTGGTGTTTCTGACTCCTTCAAGGATGGCAAAAACGTAGCGTGTCTTTCCTTGCCCGGTCAAATGCGCATCAAAGAAACGCAAAGGGGGTGGCTAAAAGGATACAACAATCTTGGCGGGAATTTTTTGCATTCCCTTTAATGCCTTTCTGAATTGGCAGATACTAATTTGTGGACTACTTTTGCCATTACAAAATATATAAGGTTTATGATATAATGGAGTAGTTTTTAAAATCTACCATTCATCATATTTTATGAGGCAATTCAAAAGAGATTTCTTAACTTAGTATTTAAATCTTTTATTTTAGTTTGTTATAGTTTATTGAAGACTAATAGTGCTTTGGTAACAGCAGTAATTTAAGATTTATTGAAATCCCTAATATTAAGTATGAGGGTATTAACTGGTTGGTTTAATAAGGTTCTGGTTGTTTTGTTATTCTTTTTTTAGCTGCTTTTTTCTTAAGTGAACCAGAAATCTTTGCCACAAGGCTTAGAGACCCGGCTTCAAAGCGAAAATGTAAGAAATATGTGTAAGGAAAAGGGCCACCAGAGAACAACTGACACAGCAGGACGACCGCCTTGGAGCATGCGGTGGTTTTTTTGAGGGCGGTGGGTTAGGAATCCCAGGGCAGAGTGTGGCAGGTGTCCTTTGTTATGCTTACCACTTGGCAATCGGCTTTGGTGTGCATCCTCGTTCCAGTATTTTCATCCCTCTCTAGGCGGCCTTTGTCCTTTGTCCTTTTATGTTTTCTGTTTTTGCGGTTCGCTTTGCATTTCTTGCTTCTTGTCTAATGTCTTGCCTTGCTCTTTGCTTCGGAAGCGGGAGCTGTAGCTGTAGCTGTAGCTGTAGCTGTAGCTGTAGCTGTAGCTGGAGCTTTTGTTTGCCAGATTCATTTCCATGCCCAAGTGCTAAGCCCTTGTTGCCGTAACAGAATGCAGAATGGTGGTGACCCCCTTTTTGGGCAATACAACCAGATGAATAACTGGCAGAGAGATATGCATCAAACTCGCATTGTTCGCAGTGACCTGGTGCAGTGGTTTATTGAACAGGCTCATGCTGGGATCCCTGAACCCTCCCAGTCTTGGATCTATTAGCAAATGAATGCCATGTTCGTTGGCAGTCGGTTGGAGGAAATTAAATTACAAGCCAGTGTTCTCTTATGCTGCTGCTACAGCCCCCCTGTGTACGTGTATGTGTGTTTGTAATAATATAATTAAGTTGCACTTTCCTGAAGCTCTTTGACTAATGACCAAGGATCCGACTTTGTTGTGGCTTTTGGCCAGCAACCGGGCTTCATTAGCATACATGCCAGGCATGGGAGCTTTATACCACCTCCCAGATTCTCCACTCTGTTTAACCTAATTAATAATTGTTTGTTTTACCCGAACGACAATTAACCGCAGGTGGCCGAAATATTTTCTCCCCATTTTCCCAAGCACAATGCATTGTAATTAGTGGTGCATGCAGGTCCGATTGCAATAGCTAGCAGTGCCCGAAAAACGTTTTGCAATTAGTGCTTGGGGTTGGGGCGCTTGTGCATTAATAACGTTGAAAACGTTGAAACACTACCCGCCAACCATCCGAACTCCAGTGCATTTAACAAAAAATGCCCGGAGGATGCCCGGTTTTGATTGAAAACATTTTCCGGCATGTTTTGTGGGTCGAAACTCTTATATTTCATCCGGATAGACAGGACTCTCGCACCCGGTTGGCTTCGATTTTGCATTTGTGCCACCAGGCAATTGACCCAAATTTAAACTAGCTGCAAGCTGGTTGCCACCTCCAACAAACGATTGCAAATGCCGTCACCGACGGGGATCATGACACAGTTGAGGCTCAGTGTGGCCTCTGAACTCCCAACAAATGCCATTCCCCATTCCAGCCCCCCCACCCCCTCAAGCTATTGGCATCTACCAACAGTCGACACCCTTTGGCTGGACTTGGCTGTCGTGTGTGGATTATCCGATGTTGTTAATTGCACGAAATAATCCTGGGAATTTAAATTTGCGATTTCAGAGTTCCCTGTTGTCCTAGACATCTAACTCATCTGACTAGCTCAACAGGTTAAGTCGGAAAAGATGTTACTGGAAGGCAGCAAAAAGGAAGCAGAAAGGCTTAACGATAAAAAAAATAACAAACAAAAAACTCTTTAAATCCTTTAAGTGCATAGGGAAAAATATCAGAGACTTACTACTACTATTTCTAGAAAATTATTACAAAAAGGAGTTAAGTTAGTTGATATTTTTGATAGCATTTTTTTCAAGTGTAGTTGTGTGCAATTTTAGTATTCTATATATACACAACGAAGGACAACTTTCGGGCATTAACAAAAAGGAGCTGTGTACACGGTTCCTGGCACTGGAACTGTTACTGGCAGCGACGTTGTTGGAAAATTAGCGATTCAATGAAATGGGATTTTAAATGGCTGCAAACTTTTTAATGCGTTGCCTGGCTCACAGCCCACCCTCGCGTATCCTTGGCGAGTCCGGCCCCCGCATCCTGCCGGTTTCTCCTCGCGGACATGTTCGTGTCTGATGCGGCGCCTCGCCGTGACGGGAAACTTTCTAGCAGGCAGCCAGGCCACCAGGCAACCAGCGCGAGCTTTTTTGCCTTGCCACTTGCAGTTGCCAGTTGCAGTTGCAGTTGTGCCGCAAAAGTTTTTAAATTATGCGCACATTTGCTGTTTCATTTTGCAGTCGCTGGTCGCGCCGGAAATGGTCTTTGGGTGAAAGTGTTACAAGGGAACAAGAGATGAAAAAAGTGGGGCCAGGATGGGGGGTTGGAAAGCAGCAGGATGCGGAAACAAGCTGCAAGCAGTTGTTGCGCCACAAATTTGTGCAGAACCCTGGCTGGATGCCGGGCTGCCTGACTGCCTGGGGGTTTGTCTGGAACGAGTCGTATTTTACTTTGGAATTTATGCCCGTCCCCATATCAATTTATTTATTTATTTTCCTCCGCACTTAATGAAGAAAGTTTCTAATTACGCGAATCCGTTTTCTTGCAGGACCAGCAATGCAATTTGCTTTATGTACAGCGAACGCCGAGCATCTGCCAGTTTCTTTCGCTGGCTGAGTCCCAGCACGATCCCAATAATGGTGGAACCAGCACCAGTAGCTCCACCAGTACCACCACCAGCACCTCTACAGCCAAGCCAGCGGGTAAGCCAACCAAGGCGACCACGTCGACTACTCCATCGACTCCGACTACTGGCGCCGATCCGGCGGCTACTCCCATCGGGCCATCGGCCTCCGTGGGCAGTAAGTGCAAGCGCCGTATCATCCGTTTCACTTTGACCTGACCCCCTGTTTCCATTTCATCCTTTCCACCTTTTCCTATCTTCCCATTGCGTTTTGCAGGAATACTGGCGGCGATTTTGTCGGTGACCTTTGTCGTGACGTGCCTAGGACTGTTTGCCTTCTCCCCGGCACGGAGACAGCGCGTTCGTCGCTTCTTCCGGCGCAGTAACTCGGCGGTCCGGTATTCCCGGGTAAGTAGTGACCCATTAGCAGTTACCTATGTAGCTAACACAGGTCAGGTTCCCCCAGGTGCAGTCCAACGAGGAGGCCAACCTGCTGCTGGAGCCGAACGGGGAGTTTACTGAAAGCGACGACGACATGCTGCTGTAGGTGGGAATCAAAAACACGTCTTAGCCATTATTAGCATGGGGCATGGGGGTAGCAATTTAGGTTACGTAACGACAAGAAGACACACAAGATCCCAAAGAGAGGAGCATTGAACACCAAAGACATAACTGAGAAAAACCCGGAACTGATTGTGAGATAAACAACAAAAAAATACACTAGTAAGGATATGATTTTGTGCGAGAGAATTGCTCGAGGATGTTGTAAGTAAAGGAAATTGTACAATACGCGTAGGCTACAACGACGATAGAAACGGAACCCAATTAACGAAACTATATATATATATATATACAAATATTATATATTTTATATACCCCTACCACAACCTAAATGTAAAGAACGATTCCCTATAGTTATAGCCGAGTGCCAGTAGCATTCGCCGGAGAATTGCAAAGGACAATTGCTTAAATATGTAGTATTTCCGCTGGTGTCTATATTTGTGTATAATAATATGGCCCAGCAATATGTTTCCTTTAAACAATACAGGACCAGCTTGTTTTTTCCACTTTGTCAGTATCTTACAGCCATTTTTATCCTAGGAAAATATGTACTTACTTATATGTATTTCTTGTTTTCGTCCTTTTTTGTTTTAGTTTGTTAGGTCGAAACATTTTTTGCGACTAAATGTAAAACTATAAATACTTGCATATACAATAAAACAACACTAAACCTTTGATGCTGTGTTTCCTTGCAGGCTTATCGGATTACCAATGTAAGCTAGTGTGAATAAAAAACTGTCAGTCTTTCAGTTTTAATTTTTAAAATATATTTTATTTATATTTATGTGTGTTTTCATATACAATTAGATTTAAATCTCTACTCACTCGCAAACTACTCGCGAGTAGATGAGTGTGTGAGTGTCTGCATAAATTTGTAGGTACCTTAGGCATTACATATCAGAGACAATCTATATAGCTTAGACGATATACATACACATATTGTAGCTTAATTACATTTACGTATCGTAGACGATATTCTGGTTTCATATGAGTGAAGAGGCGCTAGCTAATTGTTTGGTAGATGACGTGATAATGGATGTCCATTCAGTTGTGTCTTCGCTGGGCATGTACTTATTTATATAGCGTCGTTTAAATGGGCGTGGGATTACAATCGATATTCGTGAATAGTTGGTGAGTAGTAGGTGATATCTGGTTGGCCTGGTGCTGCGTTACGTTTTGACAAAATAGTACGGATATTGTGGTGTTCAGCTTATGTACAGAGTGTTGTAATTGAATGTGAATGGTACAACTTACTTAGGCCCTAAATATCTAGCATACATACATACATACAAAGAAGGCAATTTGTATCTCGCTTTTAGGCTTTAGCTTTTTTAGGGTTTTGGGATTTTGGGGTTTGTTCTGAGTGATTCTATTCTACTATTTGGATACGTCATTTGTGTGTATTGCATGGGGATTACTTAGTTGTAGGTTGCGTCTAACAAATAATAAATAGTTAGTTCCAAATAAAGCTCGATTTGTTCAAAGTTACTCGCAGATTCTCGTTCCATTTGAGATTCCGTCGAAATGTAAAAAAATGAAATAAAAAGTTTTCACTCTATCCTTGAGCTATTCTCGGTTTTGTCTGCGCCATCTTATAGTTATCCTAATGTACAAATAATTGCTAATTAAATGAGATTTGTGTCTTATGAGTCAAGCTTACAATTAACACTTAACAGAGTGATGGGGTAGGACTACCTCTTCTTTAGTTTTTCTTCAACTGTTTTAACCTTCAACTAAGTTTTCGAATTTCTGGTTAACAAAGGCCACATGAAATATTGAAATTGAAATTTTTGTAAACCTAGACTCTAACGTGGCCAAACCGACAAGGAAATCAATATTCTCTAGACTTTATACATTCATGCTGGTTTTGCTTCCTCCGCCTCGCAAGTGACTTGGGGCTTGTGTTGGCAGTGTTGGCGGCTCCGGATCCACCCTCAACGGAACAACAGTTCATCATCCGGATCGAACTGGAACAGCTCCGCCTTCTCCCAGTCCTATACGTCGCTCTGCTTGGCGTTCGTGTTGATGATGAAGGCCCCGTTGATATGACCATTACCGTGAGACTTATCATTGGGTGTGTAGAGGTTCGTCAGGCCGTTCTTGCCGTTCGCAATCATGATGGCCGTGTGGGGGGTGCCTCCGTTCAGATGCGCTACCAACGGGTTCTTAGTGGCCTCTGCCGGTGGAGTGGTCAGTGGCGGCGTCACTGGTGATGGCTTGATCAGCTCCAGTTTGTCGTCGGTGGAACTCTTCAGAGGCGACTTGATCAGCGCCCCGTTGCCCATGTTTCTGACCGGCTTGCGGTGGGGCATGGCGTATCGTAGCCTATCCCAGAACAATGGATCGCCCCACTTCAGGTAGGTGTTCATCTTCAGGTAGGCCTTCAGCTCCTCATCCAGATTTTCCACGTCTCCAATGTCCGAGTAGATGATGATAATGATCCGAGCACGGCCCTCGTTCAGAGCCGCTCTGTGAGCCGCCCGGAACTCCATGCGCGCCCACTCTGATTCAATGAAGTTCCGGCTGAGCACGATGATGGTTCGCCGCGAATCCGCCACGGATCGCACTATGTTTTCCGGTATAAAGCCACCCACTAGCCAGTCACGTTCGTGCACACAGAGCTTGAACTTCTTAATACCACCCTCCAGCATCGGGACCAAATACTCTTCGATGAAGCCTCGGTCCTTGTTGGAGTACGAGAGGAAGGCGTCGTACAGCTTGCCCTTGTCGAGCTCCTCCTCAGTGACCCACCACAGAAGCAGATCGTGATTGTACAACCAGATCTTGATCTCCAATTGGTATTTGTAATACAAGGAGGCAGTAAATCCGACCAGAATACCCGCGGACGCAATCATCATGGCCAGGGCAATGTACACGCTCCGGTCAGACGGGCAAATGTCATCGGTCGAAAGTTCCACCATTCGGGTTGGGTGCTCGGCATTCGTGCACATCATCTCCGCGCGATCCTTGATTCGATAATAATTGTCCTGGGCGAAGATCAAAAACTTTTTCGCGTCACAGTCGCATTTCCAAGGATTGTCGGACAGTTTCATGGTGCCCTGTGGCATGGTGTTGTTAAAGAAATCCAGCACGGTGGAGTTCAAAATTTGCAGTTGGTTCCTTCGCAGGTCCAGGTGTTCCAGTCGGCTTGGCAGTTGGTTTGCGCCGATTTCGGTAAGGTTATTGCCAGCGATGTAGAGACTGGTCAACTGACTATAGCCAGGATTGCTGTCGCCAGAAGGCAGACTCAAAAGGGTATTGTTCTCCATATACAGCTCCATCAGTTCAAGATTCTGGGGCAGTGCCGGCAGCCTTGGGACCCGGGTCATGTTACCATTATTACAGTAAAGCAACAAAGCCCTGTCGTAGGTTCGCACCCAGCAGGAGCATCCCTGAGGACACTTGCGCTTGTTTTCGGCATCAGAGGAATCGAAAGGACAAAGAAGTTTCTGCGGCATGATTTTCTTCACCGGAGTGCCTTCTAGGGCACCAGGCTTGCTGCAGAAAAGTCGATCTGTCTGAAGTTTGTAGTATTTGGCGTACGCCGGCTTAATGTCTCCTCTGACCAACTGGGCAAAGATCAGCATCGTACAGTCGCAGTCCAACGGATTATCATTCAGATCGATGTTTACTACGCTGTTATCGGTGCGGTCTACGGGGACATCTTTTTCCAGGAGGATGGATCGTATCTTATTGTGGGTCAGGTTGACTTGCAGCCCGTTTCTGGAGATAAACTGGATATCCTCGAAGTTCAAAGAGCTGATGTTATTGTAGCTCAGGTCCAGGTCGCGAAGTTGGGTCATCACAAACTTCCAGTCGTAGTAGATGACCATAATGGAGTTGTGGCTCAGATTAAGGGTCTCTAGGTTGAACAAGCTGGAAAATGGCGAGTTTGGATCGTTCACGTGGTTGGTCAGTAGGGACTGCTGCAGATCGATGTTATTGTGCTCCAAGTAGAGGTGCCGCAGTGAGGATGTGGCAGTAAACGCACTGTGATCAATGATGTTCAGTCGGTTGTTGCGCATAACCAAAGTTTCCAAGCTGATCAGTCGGCTGAATAGTTTTCTGTAATTAAAAAAAAGAAAGCAAGCCACATGAGTTTAGAACAAAAATTTAGAAAGCAGAACCAAAAGAGGTTTAATAGACATTTAGTGCACAATTTACCTGCTAATGCGGGTTAGGTAGTTCGACTCCAGATTCAGATCCTTTAGCTCCCTGTTGTGATCGAAAATTTCGTCTGGCAGGTTGGTCAGCTGATTGTGGCTGAGATCCAGGCTCAGGAGGTTCGTCTGGTGCTCGAAGAGCTTGTCGGGCAGAGTTGTTAGGTGGTTCGACGCTAGGGAGATATTGGTGATTCCCGCTGAACCCTCCAGAAGATCTCCGGGCAGGGACTCTAGATCGGTTTTAAGGAACAGCACCTTCAAGTCCGGCAGGTTGGCAAAGAGTCGTGGGGGCAAAGTGATGAGTTTGGCGCGATTGTTGGAGATACGCACTTGCTCGAGGCGCGTGTTGTGCTCGAAGAGGCCTTCGGGCAGGGACCGGAAGAGGTTGGCGCTCAGATTGATCTCCCGGAGGTTCGGCATGAAGAAGAATACATCGTGCGGCAGGATTTCAATGCCATTGGCATGCAAGTCTATGTCCAGCACCGAGGTAGCACCCTCGAAGTCGTACTTGGTGAGGTTGTGCAGTTGGTTGCTCCACAGATTCAGATGCTTCAGTTTCGGCATCTTGCTGAAAATTCCGCGTGGCAGGTGTTTCAGCTGGTTGCTGCCAAACTCAATGGACTCCAGCTCCTCCAGGTTGTCGAACAAATGCGCCGGCATTTCAGCAATATTGGCTCTTAGCTCCAAGGCGGTCAGGTTCCGCATGTCGCTGAGCAAGTCGGCCGGAATATGAGTAGGACGTCGTGATGTGAACCTCAGTCGCTTCAAACCTTTCAGTAGCTCGAAGTGTGTCCTGGTTATGTTCATGCCCAGGTTGTCGCTCTCAAAGATGAGCATCGGCGGCGTAGGCATGCCCATGTTTTCTAGAATCTTCGCTATGGGCAGTAAGCCCGGCAAGAGGCATCGTTGCATCTGCACAATGTCCATCTTCCCGATTCGCACCTTTGGCAACTGTTTGTAGTCTGAGGTGTCCGTAAGATTGCATATGATCTGGACGAAGCTTCTGCTCGGCTGGATGCTCAGCCGGAACTTTGGATTCTCCGCATACGCCGGACAGAGGATTTCGTATTCTGACATGACGGGCGAGCACTGGCAGGCCATGCTAAGGCTCATCTCAGTGCACTCATCCCTGCCAAAGGCCGCCTCTCCCGCTGGCCAATGGACCATGTGCAGGAGGACCGCCAGGAGTGGCATCATCATCTGGCAAGCAGCTTTCGGTCGCCTCATGGTGGGCTGGGTTCTTCCTATCCTTCTGATTGTTTTTTGGTGATTGTCCTTCTGAAAAAGAGTAAGTAAATGGTTAATTAGTCGATTCTCAGGAAAGCACATTTGTCATTATCATAATGACAAGCTGTTCACAAATATTCGAAGTTTAATCAAAAGGCAGAGGCTCGGAGGAGGCAACCAACTTTTACGTAATTATATGGCCGGGAAACAAAGCTGAATACAAACATTAGCCCTTCCTTAATGGAATAAGCTCGGTAAAATGTGTGCTTCACACTGACTGGGCCCAAAGTCCTTTGAATGAGGCTTAATCAGGGACAGTTAATTAAGCGCGAGTCAGAATTTTTGACAGCTCCAGCGAAATATTTAATTAGCATCAAGCATACGCAGCGCGTGTGTTCGTTTGCTGCGAAAAATGAATTTAATTTAAATGGGGAGCGATGTGGAAATTCGGAATCCTGGCGAGGGGCTCACAAAGCGACACCTATGCGGCAACAGCAACAGCTCGCACATGTACGAGTTCGCCTTCCTGGCTGTCATCCTTTCCGCTCGGGTTGTTGCCGCTTTTGTTTTGTGCGTGGCCAGGGCAATGTTGCATTTCATGGTTGGCTCACCTCGAAACCACGCCCAACTCCTGTACTACCGTACCCTGTAATCCGGCAGCCGGGCTCCCCCTCCGGCTCATGCCTCTTTGTGGGGTCCTGTGCGGTGTAATTACGGTCAGGGAGTGTATAAAATTTTGTAAAACGCCCTCCTTGTCCTGCTCCTTGATGATTTTCCTACTGCTTTTCCACTTCCTGTTGCTCGTGTGGACAGTATGGTGGTGGTGGCACTTTACGGTCTTTGTGCATTTAATGAATTTGTCATGCGCCCGAGTGCTGCATAATACGAGATTTTGTTAAAGCTCCAACAACTTGAAGCCAACAGCTAGGAGTCAGCCGGCTCCTGTCCCTCCAAGTCCTCTCAATCTGATGGTGACAATTTAATTGTGCCCATTACGAACAATTTGAAAGGAATTCAATTAAAAGTTTTTGCCCTTCTAGCTGTCGCTTCTACTTCCCAAAAAATGGCAACTTTAGGCCATATTGCATTTACTGCCGCCTGCCGTCTGCCGGCCAAAAAAAGTCTCATGTTTTTCGCCGGCCTCTGCTGGGACGGTCGCTTTTGAATGAAATTTTGATAAGGCAATTTAATTATGCGCGCCGTAATTTGATTTTCAAATTGGTGACTTTTCCTCATTAATTAGGACCGAACAATGATGAAATTTTCAGAGTTGCCTCCGGCTACGGGCTGCGAAAATTGAATCGATTTTCGTTCTGCTCGCTTATTGTTCGCATCTAGGTCTTGGATCGGAATTTTCTTACCAGTGCCAGCTTAATAATTAAAATTTGTTTTCGTTTAAAGACAAGCCTGCAATCTGGGAGAAACAATAGAAACAAAACCGAGCATCACTTGAGATTATTTATTTTGCAAAGTGTTTTGCTATCAAAATGTTTTTGAATTGTTATGGTAATAGTTATTGAAAATTGCAGGCATTGTGTGTGCTAAATGTTTGTCAGCCATAAGATTGCAGATATCGACTGGGGTTTTCACTGGACTGGAATCACCCTTAAGCTATTAGACGGAAGCATAGACACGCATTGTTGGCCCACCGGATCGGGTTTATTTGAAACTCAGCACCTGTCTTTTGGCGCCCAGTTTATGTGCAACACCGGAAAAAAACAAATTCATTTAAGCCTTAATAAAGCTTGAAATTATTTAATAAATAAGGTTTTCCGGTCTGCTCAACTAAAGAATAATAAATGTCATATATCAAACGTATCTTTGATTACAATGTTTTCTTTCATGAGACATGTCGGGCTTATCTTAATCTTTTTTTCCGGTACTTGGATTATGCCAGGCCAGATTTCTCCCCCCTACCAGGTATTTGTGTAGCCAACTTCAATTTCGCATAAAACTTTAAACACTTTTCACTGAATGAGTCCACCTTCTCCTTTCGTCCTGGCGAAGCTCATCCAGCTCCTGCTGTGTTTTGCCTTTTAAATTTCTTATCTTAGACGGCTACGTATCCAGGCAAAGTTGGCAGGAGAGAGAACCAGCCAGTCAGCCAGCCAGCCAAGCAGTCCAGGCTATTGTTGCTGCTTTTCTTGGCAAGATTTTAAACATTTATATTCACTTAGGAAAATTACTTTTCGCTTTTATGCCACGCTGGCCGTGTAAATATCCAGCAACGAGCTGGAACCTGCCTGGCTCATTCAATCCGCATTGATATCCCGGCCGCGTTTTGTTTATGCAATCTAATCTAGGCGAATGGCTGGCAGTTTGTTGACATCTCGCTTCAAGCGTAACCCTCAATCCACTACAAAATCCAAGAGGAACCTGCCACACCAAAAATTTACCCTCGGCAATCAAGCTAGAAGTGTTTGCCTTTCCCTACACATACATAGCTCCTAGCTTGACACACTTTCAGGGGCTCTGCCAATTAATTGAATCCTGCCCTGGCACCCAATTTAATCCCGCCAGGCAATTAAAAATAATTGCTCATTTTACACACATGTCTAAAATGCCTGGAAATTATGAACACACCGTCTGTCCTTTGGCACCTTGAGCTGCTTGGGTGCAAAGGACCTCTGCTATTTTGGTGTTCCGCTCGATTTAAAATTTTGTCTTGTTTAATTAGACGCTTCGTGTCGTTAATAAAGGTTAACGAAGTTTTGCCAACGCGCAGATTTTTCACACATTCTCACACAGATGGAAGATGGAAGGATGCCCCAATACCATCACGTAGCCACACTCGCACACTAATATCCTGACTCTCACACACACACGTAGAGATTCACAGACATTCCAGTTGAGTGCGCATTTTTGCACTCGCATGCTCGCTTCCGGTATGTAACGGTACTAAATTCATTAGGCACACTAAATTACAACCGCAGGCACGGCGTGATGAGGTTGCCTGCCGAGTTCCAGGAGCATTGAGTGCCGAGCCGCAGCTCCTTGCTTTTACCTTGGATTTTTATTGCTTCACCCAAGGAGTGGTGTACACAATGTAAGCCTTTACCCAAAACCCGAAAACCCCACACTTTCTCCTTTTTGTGTGTGAGCTGGTTGTGTCTGATATTTAATAGTCGTACCGCCCGCAGCGTGCTCTTGGAAAATTGGCTTTCGGTTGCCTGCCGCAGAGCATTTTATTATTGCAGGCGTCAGGCATCATCAGCAGCGGCAGTGGCAGTGGCAGAGAGATGCGAGAGCAACCCATTAAATGGTTAAGTTTTCTTAATGCCCGACAGTCGGGATTACGGCAGTGCCAAAATGTTTAAATGGCGTTGACATATTGTGCGTCCTTTAAATGAATTTCCACATTTTCCATTTCCACATTTACCATTTTCATGTGGCGCCAAGCTGCATGCTACACAAAAAGCAATATCAGGGGACTGGCAATCGCCATGCCAACAAGAGTTTCGCAACAACACACACATTCATCAATCAACATGACTAATTACTAGTATTTCTGCCAAGCGGTAGCAGCCTCTTCAGCTCGGCGAGTAGCAAAAAGGAGTAGCAAATGGATGGCAAAGGGAACAAAAAAATTCTGAACAAGTTGTTTAACAATTTCTTATTAAAAACTTACAAATGCTTCAGAAAAGTTCTTACACGCATGTGGAGTACGGAAGGGTTCTCCTCGATTTTCCTCAGCTCCTAGGAAACGAAAAGTCTGGCCAAGTGCGGTTTTTGTATCCCCACTAGTACTGGCAATGTTTCATTTTCATTTTCCCCATCCGAATAAAACTGGTATATGTACGTGCATGTGTGGGGGACGGTTGTTGGTTGCTTCCTTGGCTGGTTGTTTGCGAAAGGATTTCAATTCCCCCAAAAACTTTTGCAAGTCTTTTGGCCCCATGTTTCTGGTTTTACAGGCATCGCCTCCAACACTTTGGCGAACAGGCAGGCAGCCGAGACATGTTTATATAGCCAGCCAGATGGGCCAATGTATTGGCAACCGAAGCTTTAAGCAAACATCTGTGTTCTTCATCTCAAGATGTGTTCCTCGGACGTGGCAGGGAAGGGTGGCATTTTGAGAGTCTCTAAGCGGGTCTTAATATCGGAAAATTGGAAACTATTCGATATGTGATTGGCAATGTTGCAACAGACACAACTGTTCCACAGGCAACACCCCCTCTCAGTCAACACAGAAAGAAATCTTTTACATTTAAAGGAACTTTATTAGAAAATATGTATATCCTAGCCCAGGCTTTATCGCAAGCATCTTGAGATGAATTCATTAAATCTGCCTTCATTATTTATGAATTACGCCTTCCAAAGTACTTCCGAAAAAGCGCATCAAAATTTCTGCGATGACTTAGACTTGGGCGTTTTTGGAAAGGTTCAAGGCACTCACTTTCAAGCGGCAGTGAATTGAAAACACCTCGAAGCTGCTTTCGCTTCAACGCCTCCTGCCCAAGTGCAAACCGCCGCCGGCTGAAAGTGCATGGCGCGGAAAATTCAAAAAGGGAATGGCTGGTGGGGAGGAGCCCAAGTGCGATGGATGAGTGCAAGAAATGCTTGCATTTAAATGTAAGATTTCTATTAGCAAATGCACTAGCGAAGCTCAACTTTTTAGCAGACGAAAAAACAACTGCAGCTTCTGCTGAAACTTCAAAGTCAGCGACAAATCCATAAGACACTCGCTCACTCATTACTCTTGCCAGCTGCACCCAGCTCACTAAAAGTTCAACTTACAGCCGACAGCTAAGCAGATGAAAGGAAAGGGGTTAAGACCTGATTTGCGAATTCCTCCCTGCCAGCGTATATATGTATACTTCCCGGCGAAGGGCCTCTCCATATCTCGTTGAAAAGCATCTCATTGTCTGAGAAAATGGAAAGGCGGAGAGGCGATGGCGCTGCAGTTTTTTTTTCTTTGGAGCTTCTCCCGGGCCAGAAGTGAGGAGAAGTCGCCAAGTGAAAGGCTTTGTAATGTCATTTGTCTGTTAATCATGTTGTCGTCCCCAAGTTTCTCGCAAAGTTTTTAGCATAATGCGCT